TAAATATAGTATGGGATAGTATAGAAATATATTATGAGAAGTGCTAAAATTGACCTCACTAAATAGAGAATTCTCTGGGGAATTGGGAAAGTATCTCCTTGACAAAGACATGGGTAAGTAATGGTGGTGGTCAGGGAGAACATTCCTGGCCAAAAGAACAGTTTGCACAGTGTCACAAGCTCCAGTAGTCTTGTGTTGTTGTGATAAGGTGTGGTACAGAGGACCAGGCCATGGACACAGATGGGACAGGACTGCTGACCCATAGGCATTTCTCTGCAGAAAATTTAGAGAGTTAGGGCTTAGTCTTAAAAACAGTGGTGTCGTCATCGTATTTTAAGCATATTTTATGTCATCATCATATTTTAAGGTGGGGTTGTAATCATATTTTTATTCTTTCCTTTTAGGTTTTATTTTTAAACATAACTTTATTTTTTTAAAGTTTCTGTTATTTCTGTAGAAAGTTGATTGATAAGAGATTGATTAGATTAGATTAGATTAGATTAGATTAGATTAGATTAGATTAGATTAGAGATTGATTGATTAGAGAGTGTAGGCACTGTGTCAGATTGTGACATTTATCTGGGCAAGAAATAGTGTGAGGCTAAACAAAGCAGTGGGGTAGCAGCGAGGGAGGAGCTGATAGGAGAGATGGAAGATAATAGTTTGACTTATGAAATACATGTCTCAGTGCAAGGTGAGAGGGCAAGTGCATGCTTGGGTGTGTATGGATGCCATTGAGGGTTATTGGGAGAAAGGAGGCTCCATATTAGGTTGGATCTCCCAGTCATTTGCAGAAACAAAACAAAACACCAAAAACCACACCTCAGCATCACCTCAAGAGCTGTAAAATTTTCCAGATGCTCTTTCATCAGTCAGGTTGCCTGACTGGCTTGTGAGACAGAGCTTGCTCGCTAGTGCTCTGTAGCTGAGTGGTGAGTGTGGGACATGCTCTGTGGGCTATGCTCTGCGGGCTTCTGTATGGTGTATCCTGAACACTTGCTGTTTTTAGTTGATCAGAGGAGTCCTATCCTTTAAAAAGCTTAACACTCTCATGAAACAGCCTTTCCATAAGTGGCTGAATCAAAACAAACATATGGGATATATGCTATGGACGGTGTAATAGCACAGCCTTCTGAATAAAGGAGACATTTCCTTCCCAAGGCAGCTGGCAAGTGTTTCTCATTCTCTATGATTGGCCTTTAGTGCCCTCTGTTGGATGTTCACTCTGAGGCAATTTTCTTTATCAAAAGGAGAAACATGAGAGATTGAAAAACCAGACCTTCAAAGAAGTGCTAACTTCAGTTCTCTTCAAACTATTCCACAAAATAGATACAGAAAGAACAATACCAAACTCATTCTATGAAGTCACAGTCACCTTGGTACCTAAACCACCCAAAAACTCAATCAAAAAAGAGAACTTCAGACCTATCTCTCTTATGAACATTGATGCAAAAATACTGGCAAACCAAATCCAAGAACACATAAAAGATATCATCCACCATGACCAAGTAAGCTTCATCCCAAGCATGCAGGGGTGGTTCAATATACGGAAATCCATCAATGTAATCCACCATATAAACAAACTAAAGGAGAAAAACCACATGATCATCTTCTTAGATGCCAAAAACATTTGACAAAATCCAGCACCCATTCATGTTTAAGGTCTTGGAGAGATCAGGGACACAAGGCACATACCTAAACATGGTAAAGACAATATACAGCAAGCCTATAGCCAACATCAAACTAAACAGTGAGAAACTTAAATCAATCCCACTGAAATCAGGGACAAGGCAAGAATGCCCACTCCCTCCAAATCTCTTCAACATAGTACTGGAAGTCCTTGCTAGAGCAATAAGACAACTAAAGGAGAGCAAGGGGATACAAATCGGAAAGGAAGAGGTCAAAGTATCACTATTTGCAGATGATATGATAGTATACATGAGAAACCCCAAAAATTCAACCAGAGAACTCCTCCAGCTGATAAACACCTTCAGCCAAGTGGCTGGATACAAAATTAACTCAAAAAAATCAGAAGCCCTCCTGTATACCAAAGACAAAAGGGCCAAGAAAGAAATCAGGGAAACTACACCTTCACAATGGTCACTAATAACATCAAGTACCTTGGGGTGACACTAAGCAAGCAAGTGACAGACCTCATTATAGGATGTGTGAAGACACACAATCAGGAATGCCGTCCTCAGAAGGACAGTGCCAATTACACATGACAGGAGCTTCATGGTGGTGAGAGTGTGTGCACGTGTGCAAGCACACACTTAATTTCTCTTTCTATAAGCCACAAAGAAGCTATCTTTGGGTTCTGGCTTCCAGGGGAAAGGATTAAGATGTTTGAATAACTAGGATGCCAAGCCTGAATACATTTTAGTAATAAGCAAGTGTACCTGGCACTAGTTTTTTTATTAAAGGTGACTATGTATAAATAAGTAAATAAGACTTTTCTGTAATAAATGAAATTAATTCTTTCCAAGGAAGAAATATTTTCATTATTTTTCAATGAACTTTCCCCATTATATAACGATAATCTTTCTTAAAATTGCTTCTGTCAGCTTTAGTTAGAACAGGCTCATGAACCTCTTTAAGTTTCTAATTCAGTGTCCCATGCAATTGTATTGAGTGAGTTTACACAACGAACTTAGAGACATCATCTGCTTTTGGTATATTTTACTGTGTTCTTTCCAGTAATGTTTAGTGATCATTAATAGGAACAATGCCAACTTCATTCTGTGTATTTCATGTACTTTTCCTTCCCTAAAAAAACCTGTCATCTGAAGCTGACATTTTAAATGAAGGACATAATCGTATAGCTTCTTTATTAGTGTGTCAAACTTAAAATGTAGGGGTTTCATATTTCAAAATGAAAGCATGTTGTGATTCATGGTTGCTGGTGACAAACTGGACAACTCTTCCATATCGCTGCTGCTCATTGCCTTTGGATACACACGGGGTTTGCTGAGTGCCACTGTTCTCTTCCTAGACGATAGCTCCCTCTACTTGAAAATATCAGTGTAATTATAGCTTAAAATTACATGCCCTATTAGTAAGAGCCTTTTGGGTTTTTTTGTTTGTTGGAATTTTTGTGGTAAGTTATTCAGTGTTAAAACAGTAGATTGTACTAGACAATTACCAAGGGTCTGGTCGCTTGGGAGACAGTCAAAGAAAAATCAAGAACTGTGTTTGAAAGCATTGTTCAAAGGCTATTGTAGCCTTTGATGATGTCAGTATGTATGCTTTGTTATAACTCCATGCAGTGCTTTGAAAAGGATGCTGCCATCGAAAACACTGAGGCGTGGAAAACAGAACTAGAAATCTTCAAAAGAGCCTGTATTTTGGTAAATCCTTGCTTTACTGATTCCAAAGTGTTAGAATTGTAACACAAAATACTTCTCTGTCTCCTCTCAGGAAGAATTCAATAGGAGCAACCACCGTAGAGCCCTGTTCTGCTACCATAGCCTGTGTAGAATGGTACATGTAAGACGAAAGCTTGGGAGCAAGTGGGCTGTGGCTACTTAATGAAGAAGGCTTAGCAACAGTGCCGCCTCATGCACCCGCAGACAAGTGGAACTCTGCTGGGCTGAGGGATGTTAGGAGCAGGGAGGCCCTCCTTCCTTCAGAGTTCTTCCTGACAGTCCTCCTGATGAGAAGTGAGCAGGTGTTCAGGAGCAGGGACTGCGAAGCGGAGGCCTGGCTCTACCCTAAACAACGGCTAGCGGTATCAGGTTCCTGAACTTTCTCAGCACTGCTCTTTGTCCTCTATAAAGTTTGGTCTCTAAACTTGGTGGGGTGGCTCACGCCTGTGATCATAGCACTCAGTGAACTAAGGCGCGAGGATTAGTTTGAGTTCCAGGTTTACAAAGTGGTATTCCTCAAGCAGATGCATTGCTATATGTGTTATCTTCTGTGCTCAAATAAAGGAGACAGGGTTCTCCCCCGGATGAGAAATCTTCATATCGGCCTGCTCTTGAGTTCCCATTATTCACATTGGAGTCATTCTGATCTAGGCCACCGAACTCTGTCATAATTTCGATTATTTACAAATATGCAGAGTAAGCACACACCAGTATGTGTGCTGCTGCTGCTGCTCCTCTTCTCATGCCAGGCAGTCACTGTAGCACTGAGTACTTATTCGTGTCGGTGTGGGAGGGGTATGTGTGTCAGTGTGTGTGTGTGTGTGTGTGTGAGTGTATGTGCAGTTAAGGTATATGTACCTGTACACCCTGCAGAGGCCAGAAGAGGGTGCCAGGTGCCCTTCTCCATCACTCCCTGCCTTTTCCTTTGAGGCAGGGCCTTTCTTTGAGTCTTGCTCTGACCTTTTCTCCAGTCAGCTGGAAGCCAGAAAACCTCAGCAGTCTGCCTACACTTGCCGCACTTGGATTGGGGTTATAAGTATTTGCGGTAACCTCCCATTTACTGTGTAAGTTCCGAGATTCTAACTCTGGTTCCTGTGATTTTGGAGTAAGTGCTCTTAGCTGCTGAGTTATCTCTCTAGCTCCTAAATTTACTTTTGAAATGATCATTTTTTTTTTTTTTTGCCCCTGAGATTAAGTGGTTTTTCCAGAAGGATGCTGTATTTGCTCACCTGTATGGTAGAGTGTTGTTTCCCACTTGATGTTCATTTAGAGCCTACATATGGACCACGGGGAGCCAAAGATGCCCGTGTTTTTGTCCAACAATGTAACTATGGCTTGAGAGTGTCAGAGAATCTTGCCTATCTATTCCCAGATCTCTTGTGGTCAGTCACTAAAAGTTTAAAGGATTTACATGTATTGTGTATTCAGACAGTTGAAACTGTTGTTTGTATCTTCACCTTGATATAAATTTGAAATTATAAGATAAACAGAATGTTGTTTTCAGTGATTTTAGTTCTCTGTAGAATATCTACAGAGTGCTGGGCACATGAGATAAATCACATTTGTTAAAGAACAAGCTTTGTTAGTCACGCATATTTATTTTCAGGGGCTAACTTTCCTTTATTTAATTTGTAGGACCCCTTGGATCCCACAAGGTCAGTGATTGTGATTCGCTCCTTGGTAGCAGATGGTGTAGCAGAAAGAAGTGGAGAGCTTTTACCTGGAGATCGCCTTGTCTCAGTCAACGAGTTCTCTTTGGACAATGCCACACTTGCTGAGGCTGTGGAAGTGTTGAAGGCCGTGCCCCCAGGTGCTGTGCGCCTTGGTATCTGTAAGCCTTTGGTGGTAAGTTTTGAAATGAATTAATATAGGAAGTGATAATAGTACAGTTCTTTTTTTTTTAATTTTATTTTTTTCTTATTAGTTACATTTTATTAACTCTGTATCCCAGCTGTATCCCGCTCCCTCATTCCCTCCCAATCCCACCCTCCCTCTCTCCTCTCCACCCTGTCCCTTTCCAAGTCCACTGATGGGGGGGGACCTTCTCCCCACTCATCTGACCCTGTTTTATCAGGTATCTTAAGGACTGGCTGCAAAAACCTCCTCTGTGGCCTAACAGGACTGCTCTTCTTCCCTTGGGGGGTGGGGAGGTCAAAGAGCCAGCCATTGAGTTCCTGTTAGAAATAGTCCTTGTTCCCCTCACTATGGGAAACCAACTGGTTACTGAGCTACCACGGGCTACATCCGAGCTGAGGTTCTAGGTTATATCCATACATGGTCCTTGGTTGAATGTCAGTCTCAGAAAAGACCCTGTGCCCAGATATATTTGGTCCTTGTGGAGCTCCTATCCTTTCCCCATCATACTAACTCCCCTTCTTTCATATGATTCCCTGTATTCTGCCAAAGGTTTGGTTATAAGTCTTAGTATCTGCTTTGAAACACTGGGTAGAGTCTTTCAGATGTCTTGTGTGGTAGACTCCTGTCATACGTTCAATGTACATCCCATCTGTTTTTCTAAATGAGGATTGATCATCTTACCCCATGTCCGCTCCCTTGATTATCTTCTTTAGGTGTGTAGATTTCATTATGTTTATCATATCTTATAGGTCTATATAAGCGAGTATATACCATGTTTGTCTTTCTCCTTCTGCAAATGGTGGAATCTAGGAAAGATCATTCTGAGTGAAATAGTACAGTTCTTAGCAACATAAATTTGGAAGACAGATGTGCCTCACTTGTAAGGCTTGAATTGCCTTAATAAGGGAAATAAAAGTAGTACAGTAAAGAACAGGGACTTGGGGACACAAATACACCTGGCCTCGAATCTGTTGCTTACTATGTGTTTAACCCCATGCAAGTTTTAGAACACAGATTTGTTTTGTTTAAGTGTGAGGTTTTTGCATGTGCATGAAGTGCCCACAGAGGCCAGAAGAGGGCATCAGATTCCCTGGAGCGTACTTAGAGGTGATTGTAAGTCACTCTGTGTGGGTGCTGGGAACCAAACTCTCTTGTCCTGAAAGAGAACTAAGCATGTTTCTAATGTTCTTGATTTACAGCATCAGAGCAAATTTCAGAAATGAAGGCAATGCCATCTGATGTGACACACTGAGTGACTGCTCGCTGCTGGCATTTCTAGCCTCTGTCCTGCCCATTTACTACCCCATTACCCTGAGTTTCTAAAATAGAAACTGAGTTCTATTCATATCCCTTAAATGTCCATTAAAATAAATCCTTGTGCATTTTAATTTTACAACCGTGGTTCTCAGCCTGCTTAATACTGCTACCTTTTAATCCAATTTAATTCCTCATGTTGTGGAACCTAATCATAAAATTATTTCATTGCTACTTCATAACTAATTTTGCTGCTGTTATGAATTGTAATGTAAATATCTGATATGCAGGATATTTGACATGTAACTCCTATGAGAGGGTCATTCCAGCCCAAAGCGGTTACAACCCACAGATTGAGAACCACTGTTTTAGACTGATGTTAAGAAGATAGAATGAGCGGAGGTTCATAAACCGTACTATTTTTGTTTATATGGAAATGAAATTTTTATATTTTCCTGCTATCACCCATCATCAGCATGTCTGGCGCTCCCCACTACTAACAGCATTTCTGGGGTCAAGCTATCTTAAGCTCATCTTATTGTATGATATACTGTGTCATGTTACTGTTCTTGACTGTGGATTCCTTAAAATTGTGTTTTTGAGGTCCTCGGTGTGAAATACATACTTGATTATTTCCATCTAGTATTAAATGAGCATTACTATATCTTAAGCCTGTCACACGTATTAATTAGTGTTATCTTCAAACAATGTTAAGCATCCTTCTTTTGTCGCTCATTGCAAATGAGCCAATGGAGACCCAGAGAGTTTTCCAAAGTTTTATCATTAGGAAGGGGTGGGGTCAAAGTATGAGCTTGGCAGGACAGTTTTAAGCCTGGTTCCCTTTCTTAGCCACCACGATACGAAATTTTGCTTCATTACAGTGTTCTGTTTAGTTTGCATGTATCTGAACAGTAAATAGCTCATGATAGGTTGTCAGACCGGATTTCAAAAAGCCCATTTCTATCTTTGCCCTGAATATCCCAGTGAAGATTCAGACTTAACAGGTACTTAGCTACGTTAGAATCCAGGGGGTTAAAGCAGAGATCTGAGACCCCTTCTCAGAGAGGTGGAGTGAGTTTTTCACAAGTCTCCCTCCTCAGTGGGTTGCCTAGATAGTTCTCATACAGAATTTTACATTTCATAAACATTGTACTGGTGATTTGATCAAGTTGACCAGGTTTATTCTACGAATCTTCTGTAAAAATTTGTAATGGTGGGAACAAGACTAAAGAACTGAAGTCTTTTCTTGACTCTAAAATTCTTTTAGTGTGTGAAATACATTAGCATGCTGCCTGAGAACAGCTCAGGCACCTCTAGCTAGCTTGGCAGGTAGTGACAGTTATGTTCATATGCGTACATGCATATACACAGAAAGCAAGCAGTCTATTGCATGGTGTTTTTGAATTAGGAAACTGCAGCATGATCTTTGTGCTGCTTTTTACATTTCTGTGCTGGAGTCTGATTCTAAGGTTTTACCCATGTTAGGCACATTCCCTACCAGTATTTTTTTTTTTAATTCTTCCTATACACATCAAAATGCCTGAAAGTAACTCCTATCAATTACTTTAAATAATTTATAGTCTAGTACATGGCTAACCAAGTTCTTGACTTCATATATGAAATGTGTGGCCATATGCAATAGATGGTAATTGAAGTACTCAGTATGGTGTTTACATAAATTAAGAAGGGAAAACATAATTATTTTTATGACTTTGGTGTTTTTAGGTTGTAGCAAGTATTTCGTCTGCATTTTCTCCGGTAATTATTTTCTAGATTATCATGGCTGTGTGGGGAAATCCTTACTGCCTGTGCACCTGGAGGACAGGTGCAGCACAGCCTCTCCCTTCAAGCAGCGTTAGGAAGACTGAGGTGTTTTGTGAAAACACAGAACCTCTTACCCACAGGGTCCACTTCCTGTGTTTCTTCCTGTAGAGGAGTGCTGCAGGCACTGCCTGGAGAGGGATTGGAAACATCATTGTGAGCTGGCACTTGGCTCACATTTCTTTCTCAGAATCTGAGGCTGCCAGGATAGCTAGGGATGAGAGGCCAAGATTAAGGGGAAGTGACTTCGATGGTAGAGTATCCTGAATAAACAGAGCTTGGTGTGCACGTGATTCCTGGTGGAGGCAGGAAGAATTAAATACAGAGCCAAAGTCAGGCTGGGGCAGAAAGATATGTAGCAGAACAAAATTACTTCTGTAGTATTAAGCCATATAATAACTATACTCATAGAACTGCAATGATAGATTGTCATCTTATCCACGATAGCAATTTTCTTTTCTTCTGCAAATTTACCTCAAACATGCTGGATATAAAAGAAAAAAAAAAAAAAAAAGAAACAAAAACAAACAAACAAAAAACTCCAATGAATTGGCTAGAGCACACTGGCCCCAGAACCCTTGGCTCTAGAGATGTGGCTTCCTCTGTGGTCCGCTCACCACCCACTTTGCTGATCTGTAAAATGGGGTTACATGGAGTGATAACTGAGGACACAGGCTCTGGAGTCAGATTCTGGATGTCTCACTGTTGAGTGATGACACTGGTTGAGCCCTCTCCTCACCTCACTAGAGTGCCTGTTGATGGCGAGCACGAGAGTGTGCTGAAGTACCTAAGCCTGTGCTTGGTGCCGGGATCACCTCATAGCTGTACCTGCAAGGCCTTTTTCTGGAGACTGGCTCTTTATTAGAGAATGCTTCAACTTGATCAGTTCTAGCCTAAGGTTCATTTCTTTTCACTGTGGGTGGAAGTTTGCTTTGTTGATAAAATTTGCATAGCCATTGTTGAGTGATTACACTGGATGAGAGCTGTCTGAAGAGAAGTTGAAGCTGCAGAATTTTCTTGATTATAAAATTCATTTTTACTTTCAGGAAGATGAGAAAGAAGGAAGTTACTTTATTTTACATTCAGACAACAATGAAGACAACATTGAGCCTTCAGAGATGCATTCATCTTTAATCCTTGAGGCACCCAAGGTATTTGGTAAAGCTATTTGCCATTTGAATGATTTTTGTGAGTTAAAGTAACTTATTGTAAATAAGACACAAGATTGTACCTAGTCACTTGGCTAAACAATTACAAATTAAATTACATTCCCCCAGTCCCTGACCCCATAATCACAGGTGTGCCCCATCAGCTTCCTTCTCTTTAATTAGTATTCTTTAAATTAAACTGTCTTTATTTAGTCCTATGTTGTCTCTTTAATGACAGAAGATGTAAATCATTTTCAAAAAACAAACACTAGGATTAGCAAAATAGCTCAGCTAAGGCGCTTGCTACCAAACTTGATCTAAGTTCAACATCCAGATGGAGCCTACAAGGTAGAAAGAGAAAATGGAATCTCACAGGTCGTCCTCTGACTTCCACACGTGTGCTGAGGCACGTACCTTCACCCACCCCCAAATAAATAAATAAATAAATGTAAAAATATTTTTAAAAGAACAAACATTTTTAAGCACTAATGTAAATCTATGATTTGGGAAAAAGAATGTATCATTGAAAACAGATCCATGTAAAACTGTAGCTAGAGAAGAGTGAGCTAAAGATGAATTTTCATATTTGAATACTTTCCAAAGATTATCTGCTCAAACTCCTTTGGTGCTGTCATCAAACAGTGTATATTCATTGTTCCCTTATTTCTCAAGTGTACTTTAGTCTTTGGTTTACTTGATAACAATTGCTTAGTAATGTTCCTGACATGTGGGCACAGTGTCTCAGGCTGATAGGCATTCCCATAATGTCCATTACACTCTTAAAAATTTAGACACTTTGTGTTAAAATTTTATAATCAGGATGTTTTGGGATATATCCTCTGACTCTGATTGTTTTTGAACCAGGCTGCAGTATTGGTTTACTGTTTCAATGTGAAGTTTTAGCATGTGGTGTTGAGTTATTTGAAGAAAGCAGAGGGGCAGGTTGATTGTAGGAATTTGCACTAGGTAGTGATTAGTGTGTGGGGCTTATAATAGGAATGAGCGATTTTTCTGAAGGGAATCAGGCCTCCATGTTCCAAAGCCACAGGCTTACAGAGCTAGGTCAGAGGCTCAGTAAAAACTATGCTGCAGTTATTTCTCTTTCTCAAATTCTCAGTGTAGGTGAACATCTTGTTCCCTGTTATTTGGCTTATTAAAAGCAAAGTTTACTCAAAGTACTTGAGACATATAGCTATGTCTTTAATTTATGACAGAGTATTTTTAATGGCTAGAGGTATAGGTCAGAGTAGAATGTTGCCTGACATGTGTAAGATCTTAGGTTTAGTCCCCTGTCTTTCAAAAAATAAAAAATAAAAACAAATGTGTTCTGAACTGTCAAATCGCCATGACTTCCTGAGTTACTCGCACTCAACCACGCTGAGCTTTTCTGTCTTTGTTGTCTTAAGTTTATGAACTACGTTTTGTGTTGGGGACAAGTTACATATGTGGGGCAGCATTTTAACCAGATTCCTCACTGTGGTGGAGAATTGTTGGGTACTTACTATATGATGAGGCTTTCAGAATAGCTTATCTTACAAGTGGCAGGCTCTGCCTCTTTGCATCCATTTTTCTGTGCTGTGCAGAATGAACGGCAGTTTCTTCTTGTTTGGTGATGCAGAAGAACCATGCTTCTTACCATGCATTGGTTAAGGCATGTACTGCAGTTAGCTTGGCACTTTTTCAGGTTGAGGTGGATAGTGCCGCTTTAAGACAAGTGGGGCGTAACTCTTCATAAAATCTTTTATTTACAGGAATTCAGAGATGAGCCATATCTTGAAGAACTTGTGGATGAACCTTTTCTAGGTTTGGGAAAGTCTTTGCAGTTCCAACAAAAGGACGTGGACACCAGCTCAGAAGCCTGGGAGATGCATGAATTTCTAAGCCCTCCACTGGAGGGAGGGGGTGAGGAAAGAGAGATGCTTGTGGATGAGGAATATGAGCTCTATCAAGAACACCTCCGGGCCATGGAATTACAGCCGCCACCACACATTCAGGAAACCACATCAGCCCCTCCCCGGCAGGAACTCCAGGTTGGCACACAGTGGCTGCATGCTAACCTCTCGGGAGACGAAGCACCAGAGTGTCACGATGCAGAGTCCCTGAGGAGTACATATTCCCCCGAGAGGCAGCAGTATAGCTACAGTACCGCAGACATGGTATGGCTCTACTGCACAGGCCCCACCCCCACCCTGCTCTGACCCTCCCACATATCACTTCCCCAGAAAAAGCAGAAATGAAATGGGCTTTTCACAGTTAGGCTGGCTGACAGGGTGCACTACCAGGAGCGTAGCAGTGCAGAGGAGGTCCTCCTCTGTGTGTCGCACTTCTCAGGAATCGTGAGCTGCAGTTACCTTGCTGGTCTAGTGGTTATTTTCACCCTGCTTTTTATGTCTGTGACATTGTTCTTCTGATTTCTCAGTTCAATAAAGAGTTCTTTTAATCCTTAAGGTTTTCTCTAAAATTCCCTTAGGAACTGTGGCTACCTATTTCTTGTGAAGTATATTTGTCAGGGCAAAAGTCAAAATTAACACATAGTATGTTATTATTCATATGTTTGCTGTTCACAGCACTCTCCATCCTATCTGTGATGTAACAGAAGTGGTGTATGCCAGAGAATTACTTTCACATTTGAAAATCTTGCTATTTACAACTTGGCAGGAAACACTACCTTTTACTTGGTTAACCTTACTATTAGATCACCACTAAACTGGATTTGAAAATAAAATTATAATTAATTAGTTACATGTGGAAATTTTTTTGTTTTATTTTGTTTGTTTATTTTCTGTCCTGAATTAATTTTTAGACAAATGAGAAGAAATTATTATAGATGATGTTTTTACTTTTTTAAGTTTGGTTTTGTTTTTATTATGTGTATAGGTGTATTTTAAAGTTATGTTGGTGGTGTGCTCACATAGGCCCGGCTTTCTGTGCTCAGGCTGATCCCTTTCTGGGAGGTGAGCAAAGGAGAGAAGCTGGGCTTTCTCCCTTGCCTCCCTTGGACATTTCCTCTTTTTCCCTCCTGCAAATCCTGTGGGTCCCTCTGCTAGGCAAGGAGCTTCTCTATCTCCTTGGATGAAGCCTCAAGGATTCCCCACAGCTGAGGGAGGGTTCTAGGCATCCTAGCAGGAAACATGCTTTTAATCTGTAAATGATCTTAGATGTGGGAAGTTGTGACACAGAGTTGCCTGGTGTACTCCAGTGACAATTGCTTTCTCTTTCTGCCTGCCCTTCCCTGGATCCTAAGACTTTCATGCTGAATATTCACCTACGTAAGCATACTGGAATCAGAGCTTACTGAACAGGTGCGCACACTCTTTTTGTGCCCGCCTTTTCCCATAAAAAGAAAAATTCTATTTATTTAAAGAAAACACAATTTTAAATATTGGTCCGTTTTGATACTTAAACTTTTAAGGTGGGAGATAAAATAGACTAATATATATTTAGAATACTTACTGAATACATTTAGTCAAACGTTCATATCATAAAAGTTGTGTTAGGCTGACTTGTTTGAATGTACGTGCACTTGCATACATTCAAATAATTTCAGTGCGTATTTAATGTCTGTGTCCCTATTCACAACAGTCACTTTCAGATCATTCCACACTGTTCCAAGTACACAATCTTCATTTCTATGTAGCTTGTTTGAGGTGAGGCAGTTCTTTGTTAGGCTTACTTGTGAGTTTGGCTTTGGCTTCTGTGATAAACACTGACCCAAATCAGCCTGGTCAGAAAAGGTTGGCTTCAGCTTACACTTCCAGGTCAGAGCCCATCATTGGGGCCAGTCAAGGTAGGAACTCAAGCAAGAGGTAAAGCTGAAATGCTGCTTATTGGCTTGTTCTCTGGCTCCTACTCAGCTTTCTTTCTTTTACAGCCCAGACCAACTGACTAGACTTAGTGCCACCACAATGGACTGGGCCCTTACAGACATGTCACAGGCCAGTATCCTTAAGGTAGTTCTTCAGTTGAGGTTCTGTCTTCCCAGGTAACTCTGGGTTGTGCCAAGCTGACAGTCATATGTAACCAAGACCATGTTTTTGTTAACGTGGTTCTTATTAATGCTTGTTCAAGACAGTAGTCAGTGCTTACAGTTTGAAGGGCATGCATCTTAAATTCTAGACTGGTGTCTAATTGCTCATATTGCTTACTTTCTCTTGCTTTGAAAAAAATAGCATTACCAAGGCAAGTTATAGAAAAGTTTATCATTTATCAGGGTTTATAGTTCCAGAAGGTTACAGACCATGATGGAACCAAGTGACAGACATGCTGGGTGGACCTGGAAAATGAAATCTGAGAACTTAGGACTTAGAGATGGGGGGGGAGGGGAAGAGGGAGAAAGACAGAGACAGAAAGAGTCACGTAGAGACAGAGATAACTAAAAATGGCACCCCGCCATCACTGTAGTGGGGAAAGAATTAATGTACCGAGTGAGAATATAGAATACTTTGAGAACAGTCAAGTGGCAGTGGTTCATAATATATCAGAGCTCAAACAACCTTCAATATATCCTATAACCTTAAAGCACATGAGTCAATGTGAGAAGAGGCAAAAACTTAACATTTTGGTGATATGTAAAGTAAATACTATGAACACATATTTGGCTTTTAACCTAGAACCTTAACAGTTATACGTGTGAAAGTGTTACCAGTACTTTGGACTGATTTTTATTTGGAGGTCTAAGTTATTCTTTCTAGGTAAGGAAATGGTCCTATCAAGTAACGACAACTAAATTAAGGGAATTGAGAAAGGGAAACAAGAAATAAGAAGGAAGTCAGGCACTGTGCTGGTTTGGATGAGGATGTCCCAGTGGGCCCAGATATTTGAATAGTTGGCCCCTCGTTGGTGACGCTGTCTGGGCAGGTTTAGGACCTGTGGCTGGAGGAACTATGCCATGTGGGAGAGCTCTGAGCTTTTAACAATGCTTAAAATGCTTAGGACCAGAAGTGGTACATATTTTGAAGATACGCAATGGAGTATGTTAGGAGTGAGAATTAAGTCCCAAACCAGCATTTGTTGTTTCACATGTGCTTGTATACCCTGACAATGACTTGTACAGTAATTTTTTTTTTTTGTGGCCTGTATTCTGTCATATTAAGTCACATGTGGAATTTTCTACTTGTGTAGTGTTAGTACTTAAAATTTTCAGATTTCAGATTAAACCAAGATATTTAACCTATAAACATATATGATGCAATGTTACACAATCCCCGAGGGGACTCATAACTATATTCAAATGTCTTATGAACATGTAGTTCCCAGCATTTATTTATGGTTGCCCTCAAGGGAATAGAGGAGCATTACTGCTTCTGTTGTGGTAAGGCTATTGGTATTTGTCGTGTATAAATAATATCCAAGAAGTTCAGGGATAATCCTTATCCACCACCCACATACTCTTGTTTCAGTTAAAGGATAAACTATGAAGGTTTTTGGATCTGTGTTGTTCCCCCCCACCACCAAAATTGTGTTATGTCTGTATGATGCATGTACTTTTTAGGCATACAGTTTGGTGACATTAAATACAGCTATACTGCTATGTGAGGACCAGTCCCTATCCATTTCCAGAACCTTATCTTCCTACACAGAAACCCTGAGCCCACTGATCAGCGAGTGCCCTTCCCGTGCCCATCGACCTCTAGCACTAGCTGCATTTCTGTCTTCTGTCTACGAATCTGACTACTTCATAGAAGTAAAGTTGTTATAATTGTCATTGTGCATCTGGCCTCCTTGGTTTAGCAGAAGTTCTTCAAGGTTCATTCATGTTACAGCGTATGTCAGACCTCATGAAGGCAGAATAACTTACCCTGTATGGATGTCTCAATGGGAAATCTTTTCTTCTGCCCCTTTTGATTCAGACCTTAGAGAGTATCTGTTCAGTGAGAGAAGATATTAACAGAGAACAAGAAAAGGTTTCTGTGGGAAAAACCTACGTTTGTTTAGGAAACATAAATGAACTTTTAGGGGACAAATCTGAGACACGGAAGTGTGTGACAGTGTTTATTTCTCTGGGTGTCAGAGATGATGCCATCTTAAGGCTTGCACACATATTTGGTCTACTGTTCTTTCTGGGAGTAGACCCTGCCAAATTGATATGTGACAGCATTTTTCCCACAAGTGGCTTTTTGGCACCCCATGCCCCTCACTCCCTGCCTTTTGTGATTTTTTTGTTTTGTTTTGTTTTTGTTTGGAGACAAGCTCTTACTGTATAGATCATCAACATTGAAATAGACTTGATTCTGAGGTACTGAGATCGCAGGCATGTGTTACCTGGCCAGCCACAGATGCTGTTTTCAGTCATGAGAGGACAGTTCTAAAGAGTGGCTTTTTTAAAGTTTATATTTTTTATTTAATTATTTTTATTTTTATTATAGTTTATTCACTTTGTATCCCCCTTGAACCTTCCTCCTTCCTCCCCTCCCAATCTCACCCTCCCTCTTCCCTACCCCTGTCCCTCTCCCAGTCCACTGATAAGGGAGGTCCTCCTCCCCTTCCCTCTGATCCTAGTTTATCAGGTCTCATCAGGAGTGGCTGCATTGTCTTCTTCTGTGGACTGGTAAGGTTGCGCTCCCCTCAGAGGGAGATGATCAGAGAGCAGGCCCATCAGTTAAGGTCAGAGACAGTCCCTGTCCCCATTACTATGGAGGCCACTCGGAGACTGAACTGCCATAGGCTACCTCTGTGCAGGGGTTTCAGGCCATCTCCATGAGTCCTTGGCTGGTGTATCAGTCTCAGAAGAGACCCCTGTGCTCAAGCTTTTTGGATCTGTTGCTCTCCTTGTGGAGCTCCTGTCCTCTCCAGGTCTTACTATCTCCCACTTCTTTCATGAGATTCCCTGCACTCTGCCCAAAGTTTGGCGATGAGTCTCAGCATCTGCCTCAATACCCTGCAGGGTAGAGCCTTTCAGAGGCCCTCTGTGGTAGGCTTCTGTCCTGTTCCCTGTTTTCTCCCTTCTCTGATGTCCATCCTCTTTGCCTTTTTGAATGGGGATTGAGCATCTTGGCCAGAGTCCTCCTTCCTGATCAGCTTCCTTAGGTGTACAGATTTTAGTATGTTTCTCCTATATTATAGGTCTAATATCCACTTATAAGTAAGTATATACTGTGTGTGTCTTTCCGCTTCTGGGATACCTCACTCAGGATGATCTTTTCCAGTTCCCACCATTTACCTGCAAATTTTATGATTTCCTTGTTTTTTATCGCTGAGTAATATTCCGTTGTGTAGATGTACCACAATTTCTGTATCCAAGAATGGCTTTTTTGTGTGTGATGTCTTTAGTGTAAATTATCAGTATAGGAGCTCGCGGCTCCCGAGAATGTGCTGTCATGCGCCACATATTGGCTTTCCATGTAGGTGCTGGGTACTGGACCTGAGTTCAGTAAGAGTTGTAAGTGCTTTTAGCTACCAAGCCATGACTGGGACCAGCAGGTTGTTCACAAGAGGACCAGGACTTCAGAAGATAATGATAGAGAACGTAAGAAAGTTTAGGATCTAAAAGTCTTGTACAAGCTATGTCTTAGACCAAACAAGCTTATTAAGAAGTACATCACCAGCCTGGTCTAAAGAGTAAGTTCCAGGTCAGCCAAGGCTATATAGAGAAACACTGTCTTGCAAACAAACAAACAAAAAACAAAACAAAACAAAAAAACTAAAATAAAAAGAAGATGAAGTACAGCGCCTTATATGCTGTTTATAGGAGAAATGGGACAGTCAGCAGAGTCTGTCCTACGATGGGACTAAGTCAGCAGGAAGCTAATTAGATAATTTTGCACAAGGACAACACGGGGCATCTCAAGAGCAGTATAAATCTGTCACACAGCGGTCTGGGAACCTTTAACTGTAGCCACATATGATGGGAAGATTCGGTTCTCAGGCTCTGAAGCCACAGTTCCCCAAGGCCCTAGTCTTAGGCCAAGGCTATCTCTGGTCAAGCATATTCCTAGTTTTAGAGAAGGAGCTGTGCTTTCTTATGCATTAGAGCCTCAGGGAAAAGCACCCAAGGCCTGGGCCCAGCCTACACAAGCTTTGCCAGGCACATTTCTTCTCCATACACCAGGGCCTTGGGAAAAGCCTTGGGCCTCAGTCCAGCCTTCAACCGAGCATGTCTCCAGTTCTCTACCTTATTGTTGATGGATAATGTTGCTGTAAATATTGGTATATAAATCCCCCCCCACACACACACACCTTGTTTTTTGTTTTTCTTTGTTTTGTTTTGTTTTTTGAGGCAGGGTTTCTCTGTATAGCCTTGGCTCTCCTCAGACACACTCAGTAGACTGCCTGCCTCTGCCTCCCGAGTGGTGGGATTAAAGGTGTGCACCACCACAGCCTGGTAGTATATAAATTCTTATTCAAGTCCTGTTTTCACTTCTCATGGGTTGCCAACCTAAATCACAGTCAGGGATTCACCAGAGTTTCCTGGTGTTTATTTGGGAATGACAACATTACTGTGCGAATGGATAGGTCACAGTGACCAGTAAGCATTTTCAAGGAGTATAAGGCAAGTTTTAAAAGAGGGAAGCTTAAAGTTAGAGTCTACTGATATGAAGTCCTTGGTCTTGAAGTCCTAAAGCATTAGTTGGCTCAGCTTATTAGTGGAGGTGCTTATTAGGCAAGTATTCAGTTAGAAGTGCCCTGTCTGAAATTTGCAGAACAAATACTAAACATTGTAAATGAAATTTGCCTGTTTGTGGGGCATGTAAACCATGGGGTGTGGATAAAAGAAATCCTTAGGAAGATGTTGGGAATTGCTAAGTGTTGTGGGATCATGGGATATATGAGCTAGGTGCTTATAATTCCACCATTTGGGCGGAGAAGGCAGCAGGATTAGGAGTTCAGAATTAGCCTTTGCTTCATAGTAAATTTGAGGTCTGTGCTGAATTAAGACACTGACTCAAAAAACAACAAAAAAAAGAAGACCTTGAGAAGGCCCTTAGACATTGTCTCAGATAGGTAAGCATGGCTTCTTCCCATTCTTCATTCTCTGGTTCTGAGCTCATGTTGATGTCACCAGATGGGTCAAGGTTAGTTTTTGTCAGAGCAATCGTACGATGCAGTGTCCAGCTTCTCCATACCCTTGCTAATGCTGATTGGCCTGAGTTTTTCTGTTTCTAAGTAGCAAGTATGCCCTACTGTGTGACTTGTTTTGAAATGGCCCTGGTGCCTTGTTTACTGTCCTGTTGTGTGAGATGATAGACACCCAACAGAAAACTCAACGGAAAAGAGGATTACCTTGGCTCATGGCTTCAGAGAGATTTCTACCCGTTTATTATAGCAGGGAAGACACAAAGGTGGGAACAGTTGTTGGTGGCAGGAATGTATGGGAGAGGCTTGTTCAGTGGTGGTGAACAGAGGACACGGGCTGGAACCAGAAGTGACTGGAGTCCTCAGAGGCCCATCCCTAGTGACCCAGCTGCCGCCTGCCAGACCCTGCTTCCTTAAGGTTTCATGGTCTTTAAAATACCACCACAAGCACTTAAAATAGGCCTGGATGGGGCCATTCAGATTCAAAACAACTCTCTGGCTGGCTGTGAAGTCTACTTCTCTTGCCTTAGAAGTCTTTGAGTGCTGGGGTTACAGAGCTGAGATAACAGGCATGGACTGCCACACCTATTTCTTTATGACTTTGATTTGCATTTTGTTAATTATTGATGTTAAGTATCTTTTTATGTGCTTATCGACCTAATATATGCTTGTGGAAAAACCTACATTTGCAACCATCCGCCCATTTTTTAAAGGTATTGGGTTTTTTTGCTTGTTTGTGTTTCTGTTTTGGTTTTGCTTCAATATTATTTACCTGAGAATGACAATGCATTTTTTCTCTATTTATAAAAAAAAATAATTTTCTAAAGATCTGACCTTTCAAATTTGCTTTACTGAGAGCTGGAGAGATAGTTCAGCAGTTAAGAACACTGGTTGCTCTTCCAGAAGACCGACATTCAGTCCCAGTACTACCAGGCAGGCACCAAGGTGCACAAATATGCAGACAAAACACCCATACACATAAAATAAAATGGAAATAATACAATTCAAATATGCTTTATTGAAATCCGGATATGGAGTCCTTTTTTGCTTATCAGTTACTGTTAGCAGAATTGCCACTCACAGTTTGAAATATCCCAGTTAGCCAAAAATACTGGAAAATGTCTTTCTATTTGCATACTCCACACCTCCTGTCTCCTCCTCTGAGAAGTTGTGCTGCGTTTCTTTCAGTCAGACAGCAGTCATACCTCCCTTCCCACTGCTACTGTGGGCACTGTGGGCTCTGCTGGTTATCTGACATGTTCTTCTCTGTGACACGACCTGTCTGGGAAAGCCGCAGGGGTTAGCATGGCAGTTCTCGGAGCGCCTGCTCTGCCACTGAAGTCTTACCGTTCTCATTCTAAATGGATCGTTAGAAAATACAAACGTCCAATTTTTGTTTTGAACAGCCAGTAAGAAAAACAAAAAATAGTATCCAGCACGGTGGTACACTTTTGTAATTCCAACAGTCAGAAGTTGGAGGCAGGTGGATCACAAATTGAGGCTAACGAGGGACATAGAGCTGGACTCTGAACCCAAAAAGTAAAACCAAACATTAAGAAAAAAAAAAAAGTTATGCACCTAATTAAATGTGTCTATGTGGTGATAAGACATAAATTTTTAACTTATGCTTATAGAAACTTATAATTTTATGTTACATATTTATGTCTAGGGTCTGCTATAACAAATATGCCATTTACTGGTGGTAGCTTATTAATATCAGAAATTTATTTCTTACCCTTCTGGAGGCTGACAAGTCTAAGGTCAAGATGTCAGTAGTTTTGATGCTTAGGAAGGACTCGACTTATGGTGCATAAATGGAACTTTCTATAAGCGGTTGTCTAGAAATCTTTTATTGAGCCGTTTCTTTCAGGTCACCGATTTCCTTCAAGGCTTTGCTTCCATGGCCTGATTACCTCCCTGGAAGCTTGCCTCCTAACACCTCTACATGGGAGCCGTGGGGGCAGTCAAATCCTGTTTCCAAGCTTGCGAGGCCGTGAAATTATATTCCATTAAAATAGTTGAACACGAGAAAAGCATACATATTTACTTCACAGATTTATATAGCATAGGAACCCCATAAAGGAGGACCCAAAGAAGCTAGAGTCAGTTTCTTGCGTACTGAATTGCCAAGGAATATTTAGTTGTGAAAGCATGACTTGGTGTTAGGGAAAGGCTTAAGGTCTCAGCTTCTTATCCTTGAAGACAGAGATACTGCTTTCACTTTTCCTTCAGGGAGAGGGTCTTTCATGAGGAGATTTGGATTCTGTCTTCTTGTAAGATACAGCCTCGAAGGTCAAAGCAATCCTTTTGTACCTGCTGTGTTTCAAGTGCATTCAATTTAAAGTCTGTATCTCACTATTTAACCTCTTTGAGCGTTTTGACTTAATGTAAGACTTTGGAGAAGGCACAAGTGTTTTAGCATTCTAGCAGAGTGTAACTTAAAAAAAAATACTAATAAAAGACATAGCTATAAAGGGAAGATAGAGGGAAGGGCACCAAGTTATCAGGAATTTTGTCAATCTGTAAGTTCTCTTTGGGGCCAGCCAACATGAAAGACATCTGGTGTATACCTATAGTCCAGCTGTTGGAAGGATTAGAGTTCAAGGCCAATCTGGGCTACTCAGTGAGACCATATCTGGAAAACAAAAATAAGTACAGTGACCAAACAAAACAAGAGTGCTAGGAAAAGACAGCAAAGACACAGAGAGAGCAATGATGTCACAGGCGGCAGAAGACCCCATCTAGGATGCTGTATATAACCAAATGGCTTGATTGGCAGCCAGATCCTCATTCATTTTTGTCACTCTGGAATATGCTTGTTTATATCCATTTGTTAACGCTTAAAAAGAAAACTCCTACTCAATAACCAGAGTTTCTAAGTCTAGGCTCATGCAGCATTTGTTGCGACTCATGACAGAATAGCCCCCTCGGGGGGAGGGTTTCGGGCATGGTGTGTGCAGCAGCTCGCAGCCCCAGTTTTCCATTGTATCGCTGTCTGGTTTGAATATTATGGTGATCTTATTGCTTCTTAAGATGCTGAACTTCTGGTTTTCTTCCTTTTCAAGATGAATGAAGCATTTGGCCTTGATTCCCAGCTGCCCATACCCTCCTCTGAAGGAAACGGTCAACATGGCAGATTTGATGACATGGAGCATCTTCATTCACCAACAAACAGTAGCCTGGATTTAGGTGTGTGCGCTTTGATTCTTATACACACAAGTGAGATAATTTGCAGTCCTTATGCTTTGCTTTATATATATTACACTGTCACATTTACTTTCATCATGCTGTCATTAATTTTTTGAAATTAAACCATAATTACATTGTTTCCCCTTCCCTTTTCTCCCTCCAGTGCCTTCCATGTCTTTATTCTGATGTTTTGAATTTAAAACTGTTTATTACTTAATCTGTTTCAGAAAAACCTAGGCTGAGATTTCAACTTAAACATTCAGTGCCTGTGTACAGAGAAGAATACATATTCCCCGCCTCATTCTGCTTTGTCTTACAGCATAGATTGGAAGTGAGACGACTCCCTTCCATGAGCTACGTCTCTCCTAATATATGTTAAAGTCTCTGATGCTGTTAAGTGGAATTGCTAGCTCACTGGAGGCAGCTGTTAAATAGTCATAACGAGGAGCACATTTTAAACATTTATGAAGCATTTTCATAGCCATAAATTATAGTTGATTCTAGTGCATTAATAACTTAGGCTCCATCAAAGAGTTCTAAAAGTATTATGCCTCTCTTTGCCACCCCAGATTACCAACTTTCATATACTTTTGAAGCCTTGACTTTAAGAAATAATTTTTATTCATACAACAGTGAAATACTGGCTATTGTTATAACATTGAGATCCCTAGGTGAGACCATTCTGTCTCCACACTGGAGTCAGCTGTTGTGCAGGATTTGTGCTGTCTTTCACTATTGGACTTTGCTTGGTGGAAAGCCCTCCGAGATGACATTTCACATATTATACACATAGGGGAGACCGCTTTAGGAAGTTTGGTGTTCAGAGGAATCCACAGAATGGAGCCCTGATGGCAGACAGAGAGTTGTGCAGTGTTGATGCTGGATAGCCCTGTGAATGGCCAGAGCGGGCAGTCATAATGGAACCATATGATTAGATGAGCCTGTGCAGCTTGTCAGGCTCATAGCTGGGAGGAAATAGAGCTTTTATCATCCCCAGCCAACAGTCAATCTACTTGTTAAAGTTCACTGCATTCCTGTGGTTCTCTGATTAGTGAGTACTTATTCATTCGTGGTTTATGGCAAGAATGAACAGACCACACTGGTCTGGTCACTGCTGCTATATTATAGGTGTATTGGCATGGCGTAGAACTGTTTTCCTTTCCTTTTCCTTTTCCTTTTCCTTTTCCTTTTCCTTTTCCTTTCCCTTTCCTTCCCTTCCTTTCCTTTCCCTCCCTCTTCCCTTTCCCTTTCTTTTCCTTTGCTCCATTTTATTACTGTTAAATCAAATCTTCCAATGATACTTCATCATGACTGTGCATGAAAACAAAGTTTCCCCCTAGGTGTTAGGTCTTCATTTCAGAGGCTCTCTCCCATTTAGTATTATTCTTGGATTTTGTTGCCATATATTAATTAAACAGAATGGGCTTTCTTAGGATATTTTCAAACAGATATATATTTTGGTTATGTTCACCTCCATTATTCTCTTGTCCTCTCACTCTGTTGATCCTCTTTCTAACTAGTCCTCTTTCTACTTTCATGTCGTTTTTTTCCCCCAGTGACCCAGTAACACTCATTAGGGCTTTTGATAGCACAGGTAGGGCATTACTTATGGGAGCATGAACAACTTGTTGGTGTCTACATTGCTAAAGAAAATAACATTTCCTCTCCCAGAAGCCATTAATTGTCAACAGATTCTCAGAGAGGAGTTGGGGGAACACCATTCAACTTCACAAGGCCATAGGTAGTTATTCTTAAGAATATCACTGGGGACTGCTGCTACAGTTATATGTCTTGGACTTGTCTGCTCAGATAGCATCTCTAAGCACACATGTCAGGGACTGCTGTGACAGGCGAGACTACATTGGTGCTCATCACACTGGGCTAAGAAGCTCATCATGTCGGCTGATAGACATCTCAGCAGCATGTGTACTGAGTTGATTCCATTCTGATTTGTATTTTCCTCTTGAGAGCTTTGCTGTCTGCACTAAGTTGATAATCTGCTCTTAGCTTCTCCAAGCCTTTCTTTTCTCACCTGGAAAGTCAAAGTTTAGATCTGAGAGTCTTAGAGTCCCTTTCAAATCTGCAGCTCACTGTCCGCTCCATCAGCAACCGACCATCTTCTGTTTATAGAACAGTTAATTGTAAAAATCATTTATTGGTAGCCTGTGGCTAACCCAAAATCCTGACTTGGGCTTCATATGTGTCTCAGTGGTGGTGGAGCACACAGTGGTTTCATTACAAACAGAAACAGAAACAACAGCAAAAACAAAGCTCCTTAAAGTACTCACACATCATTGATGATGAACGCAAACTTGTAAATGAGTGTTTCAAGATTCCCGGTAAGAAACAGCTCCATTTCCATCTTACTGCCCACTCTGGATGGATTTCTTTTGTGTGTGTACCCATTTTCAGTCTAGTCTGTTGCTGTAAACTAGCCCTCTGCAGGGTGAGCCTTGTCACTGGCTCTGTTACCACAGTGTATACAGAAGTGTTTGTCAGGTGAGAAGGCAACATGCTGCTTGTTTTTGTTCCTGTTGCCGAGTTATGTAAAACACTCATTTCTTTCTGCTCAAGTTCTTCTTGCTTTTTCTCCATGCCACTCTGTGCTTGCACCTCACCAAGTATAATGGTTTGGAAAAAATGTCCCCATTCCTCTTCTGAAAGCTTTAACTTCCATTTATACAGGGCCCTTTATTAAAGTTCCCTGTTTTTATAACCTCTGTGCCCTAACAACCATGTTGGCCTCCAGGACGTGATTTGTTTTATGGGCTGGTGGGTGTCGTGGGCACATGGTGAACAGTTCCATAAAGTATGTGTCAATCACTGTGAGAGGTGAGAAGTAGGCATTTGTGCACTGGCAAAGGGCCAGAGACGAGGCAGTGGGCAGAGGGCCTGGGTAACAGGCACGAGAAGTTGTAACTAACCTGTATTAACTCGCACAGCAGAGCAGTGAACTGTGTGAGAAGTTGCGTGGCAAGTGGAGTCTTTGTTGTACTTACAGCCGCTGCCTGGGTCCTGCTCCGCCTCTGCTTTCCTACCCATTGAGTTGAGGTACACAGGCTACAACTGGAGCTGTCAGGCCCCTCTCACTATCACCCTGGAGTGAGGTCCCAGCAGTTGGCAGTGAAGGTATCTGGTGATGGGAAAGGCTGCTGAGCAGGATAATTCTATTCACCCTGTCTCTGCAGCATTGCCACTTGACTAGGCCTGTTTCTATAGTTTCTGGACAAGATCCAAAGCAAAAGGAGTGGTCATATAGGAGATATTATTTTTATACTAGGTATGTGGCCGTTCAAGGTGACGTTTGCAGGAAAAGGTGGAGCAGATTGTGACTGTCAGTTCTGGTTTTCTGGAGAGTCAAGTCTGAAACATGACAAAGACACAGATTCAAGGAAAGCATTTGGTGTAAAATTCCCCATGTTCTTACAAATATGAGGACAGACTGGCTGAGAGTTTATATTGGATTCCTGGATAAAATATACTTTAGTGACGAACAAAGGGATGTTAGTGCGAGTACAGGGCTCTAACAAGGGCCACAGTCTCCTCAGTCTACCTTAGTTATCCTTTTATTGAGCAAACAAAAAGAGGACACAGGTAGCATGTCTTGCACGAGTCTTTTAGGCTGTCTATACACTCCAGGAAACTGTAGGAGGGAGGTTCCTATGTTGGATTACGGAGAAGATATCCAAGGCAATCCTGAGGGTCCGGAATAAAGGTCTTCATTAAAGAAAAGAAAATCAGGAGGCTGAGGCACGGGCATAGTGGAGGAGCTCTTACCCAGCATGCCTGAGGACGAGGGTGTGGCGGGCACAAGCGTGGAGAAGAGGGGAAACTATTGGACCCTCGCCCTAACAGCCTACTTGAGGATGGCAGAAGGTTCAAGTCTATCTCCTGCCCCTCTCTTTGAAGAGCTCTAGCACAGTGAGAGTAGGGGGCAGGACAGTCAGGACAGGCCAAGTGCCACTACTGGGAAGCTTCAGCTGCGGAGAGAGCTTTTTCACTTGTGTTTTGGTTTCGAGGCTCATCCACTTCTGGCCCCATCCTTCTACTTCATGTTGCTGAGCACAAGTGCTTTTATTTTTGGCAGCAAATCAAATCCTCCTTAAGTTCCATCCTCGAAATCAAATCACCTCCTCATGCCGTCTCCAGCGCCCAGCACACAGGCAGCTCTGAGTAGAGTCCGCACCACTCTCCCAGGTCCCAGTCACGTGTCTGAAATCACCGTGTCTTTCTGTCCCAAAAGTTGCTTGAATTTTCTTCCCTAGAGCTTATGGCTTCCAAGCGTCAGTCCAGGTGCTTATTCCATCTCTCACTCCTAGAGTATCAGCTCCAGGCAGCAGGAACTTCGTTGGTTTTTGCACTTAGTTGTCACTTAGTTGTCATCAGTTTCTGGCAAGTAGTGCATGCTGTACATGTATTTGTTGAGGAAATATTTAAAAGCCATACCACCTATGTTTGAAGCTCTTAACCACCTATATAATTCCTCATATTTGTACAGTGATAAATAAAATACATTAAGTCTTTTTAAAAACTTACAGCCTCTTAACTTCTGAAAGAAATCTTTTTTAAAAACAACTATACAAATCAAATAACTGTAACAAATTCCTTATCACATTTATTTTTGTGTGTGCTTGTTCACGAAGAGGCAGAGGCCACATCATGCGGGTTCCAGGGATTGAACTCAGGTTGCCAGATTTGGCGGCAAGCACCTTCCCCTGAGCTAAGCCCCCTCAAATAACAATCTTGATGAAACTGTGTATCGTATTTTATATCGCTTGGATAAATGCTGTATCGCTTATTGTTGTGCAACCCTGTGAAGTACTGTTCTACCTCCTTCCATATGTGTCAGCGTCCGGCCTACGTTTGTAACCCTTCACATTTTCCCCAAGGATATAGACTTCAAAGAAGAAGGTTGGGGACATGTTTCAGTTTATGGTTCATAGGTCCCAGGAGGCTGGCCCCACTGGCTTCCAGGAGAGCTCCTCACTCAGCAAGTCAGGCTCCTCCCTGGGCAGCAAAGCTCCCCAACGCTTGACCTGCTACTTTCCCAGTTTCTGCTCAGCTCTGCACAGTTCATAGTCAGCTCTTCAGCCATGCTGGTTTTCTGTCTGTAATTACTCTGCTTTCTAGGAAAAAGCCCAGCTGCCCTCAAACTCTGTAGCCGAGGATTACCGTGAACTTCTAATGCTCCTGCCTCTCCTTCCTGAGCGGTTAGATTATTGGTATGCACCCCACAGGTGGTTTGTGTGGTGTGAGGGATCATGCATCTAGGCAGCCATTCTACCAACTGAGCTGCATCCCAGCCCCATACAGAATCTGTCTCCAACTGGAGTCCAAAGCTGTTGTTTTCCCCTTACCACCATGCTTCAGGGTTATTACATGAGCCCTTCTAAATAGAAACCAAAATTAAGGATAAGATGCTGTGGATGGGAAGGTGGCTCAGTGGGTAAAGTACTTACTGTACAAGTGTGATGGTCAGGGTTCTGCTCCTCAGAACCCATGTAAAAGCCAGGTAGGTGTGACAGCCACTTCTAATCTCAGCACTTGGGAGACACAAACTGAGTCCTCAGAAGCTGTGTAGCCAGACTAAGTGTAACAGTAAGCTCTAGTGCAGAGAGACCCCGCCTCTGTAAGTTAGAGAGTACCAAGAAAGACACTGCATTACCGCAGGCCTCCACACATGAACACAGTGCGTCCACACACATGAACACACATACGTGCATGCATAACAAACACTTATGCCAAATAAAGAATGTAGATATAATAAAAGAAGAACACACACACATACCCACACACACAGCGGCAAGCTGGCTCATTGGGTGAAAGCACTTGCCATGTCATCCTGAAAACCCGAGTTTAATTGCCAGAACTCAACTAAAAAGCCTGATGCATTGGCATGACTCTGTGTTCCCAGCATTCCTATGCTGAGGTGGGAAGCCTAGGCAGGAGGATTGCCCAGTAGCTCGAGTAGTGGCAGGAACACAAAGACTCCTGAAAGTTGTCCTCTGACTGCCGTGTGTACACTACAGCGTGAAACACATTCCAAAAGTTTAAAATAACATTTAAGGTTGGAGTTCTGGCTAAGTGATCAAGAGTGCTTACTGTTCTTACGTGGACCCACCACAAACAAGTTGCTTATAAACCACCTATCACCCTAGTTGCAGGGATTCTGATGCCCTCTTCTGGCCTCTGGGCACACAAATATTCACCCACAAACACATCATAAAAAAAAAAAAATCTTTGGCAGACATGGTGGCACATACCTTTAATCCCAGTACTTTGGAGGCAGAGGCAGGCAGCTCTTTGTGAGTCTGAGGGAACCCGGGCTACATAGAGAATCGAGAATTAAAGTCACAGACTGGGGCGGTGCCTCTCTGGGTGAGAAAGCCTGCTTTGCCAGCCTAAGAACCCGGGTTAACCCCTCCAACATCTGTGTAAAAAGCTGGGCATATGTGCTTGTAATCCCGGCAATGGGAAGCGAGATAGGCTGATCCTAAGCGCGCTCTAACAGGCCAGCCTAACTGAGCCGTGAGCTTCCGGTTCCGTTAGAGACCCTTTCCCAAGGCGGTAGGGCAGAAAGTGATAGAGGAAGATAGCCTGTGTCTTGTTCTGTCCTCACATGTGTGCACCCGTGCACACATCTGTGTGAACTTGTGTGTGACCTCATAACTGAATTAAATAAGACTAAGAATTTGGCCTAACAAAGGTAGTCTTTTAAATAAATGATGCCAATTTGTGTTCTTTAGTGCCCGGGTATACAAAATTGAGTCAGCAAGATGGCTTAGCAGATGAAGGCATTTGTTGCGAAGCCCAGTGACTGAAGAAGACCAAGTCCTGCAGGCTGTCTTCTTCCCCACACATGCACCATGCCACATCTGCACCCCCTTGCACAGGCACGCACAAAGTAAAAATTAGCAAAGTCTTTAACCTGAATTTTCCTTTCGTAAACTATAATTAGCGATGTCTTTTCTTTCTTACGATTATCTGTGAAAATAGAACGTGTCGACAGATAGATATAAAAGAATTCTGATGTTTCTAAACTAAACCTTTCAGATTTTAAGATTTCTTACTTAGTTGTTACTCAGTGTTGTCATTTTGTTTAAATGAATAAATGCCAGAGTACTCATGACCAGAATAGCTTGGGGTGAGAAAGGAAAACCTTGCAGTAAGATTAGAAAACATAAGAGAGTTCTTTTGATAAAGAGCCTGTGCATTTGTTTATTTTCATATGAGGACACACTAGAAATGCAACCTCCCTCTATGCAGCCCCAAGCCCTTCTGTGCTTTGCTTTTTGGTGGCACTTTCTGCCACCTGACATTAAGCCTTTCACCTATGTATTTTAATGTCACTCATCTCCTAGCTCAAGGGTCATACCTGTAGTGGGCGCCCTTTATCGATGTGCCGAGTTACTGACTGTGTCTTGTCTTCCCCTCATCTGGATCCTTCAGGTTTGATGATTCCAAGTGATATACAAGGTCCTGGCATGCTGGTCGATCTTCCAGTTGGTGCCCAAAGACGAGAGCAAGAAGATCTGCCTTTGTACCGACTCCCCAGTGCCCGGGTTGTCTCCAAGCCTTCATCACACATGGGAATGGTGTCTTCAAGATATGCGAATGCTGCATGGTATGCTGTCCTTCCTCTGCCTTTTCATTTTCCTTCTTCCTTTACAGAGTTGCTGTTGAGTTATACGGAGTGGTGTATTTGCTATTTATTATTATTAACTTGTCACATAGAGGAGCAGGATTTGTGTGACTTTGTCCTTTATTCTAATTCATCCCCCTCCCACCTTCCTGCCAATTCTCCCCTGTATTCTCTGCCCACTATGGCTTGACTTTTGTTTCTAAAAAATGTGCAATTTTATTGAAACATTTAGAAAATACACAAGGATATATTAGCTTCTGGTAGCTGAGTTGTGCAACCAGCCCCAGTGCCATATATCAGAGACATGGGTAAGAAAAATATGGTCAAAATATGCAATGGAATTTTTATCAGTCATAAAGAATAGAGAATTTATGTCATTGGCAGGAAATTGGATGCAACTCAGGTTATTAACTGAATCAAGGAACAACCAGGAAGACAATTAATCTATATTTTTCTCTTGTACATGGTTTCTGGGCTTTATATTGGTCTGTAAAATCATGTATGTATATATCACTTGAAAGTAGAAGTATAATTGTGTAGAGGAACAAGTGGTTCTAACTGGAAGGGTAAGAAAGGAAAGCGTAGGGAACCATCAAGGGAATATGCATGAAGATATCACTAGATATGAAGATATCACTAGATAGCACAATATCTTGAATATCAAATATATAATTAAAAAATTTTAAATGAGAAACATGCTGACAAAGTGGCCCAGCAGGTAATAGGTACCTGCCACCAAGCACTTGAATTCAATACCTGGGACCCACATGGCGGAAGGAGAGACTCGACTCCCACAGCTTATCCTCAGACCTCATACATGTACTGTTGCATGTACACATCCATTCACCTAGACGACCTCTTCAACAAATGGTACTGGGGAACCAGGTATCTATAACTAACAGAACGAAACTCAAATCCCTATTTCACCGTGCACCAAAATCTATTAATGTATCAAAAACCATGATGCAAAACCAGAAAGTCTAAAACTACTCGATGTAAACATTGACAGAACTCTGCAGTGTGTATGCAGGCAAGGGCTTTTTGAAAAGGGTTCTGATGGCAAAGGTAAAGTGCTGAGAACTCAGAGCCAACACTGTGAGATTAAGAATCTGCTCAGAAAAAGAGGCATTCAACAAAGAGAAGAGGCAGCTGCCGGAGGGGACCAAAGTTTTGTCAACTGTTTGTCCTGTGAATTTGTCCTGGGAATCTACAGTCTATAAAGAACTCCAAAACTATATTCCCCAAAAATCATCTGATCAATAAATGGGTTAATGGATTAAATATATATTTCTCAATGGAAGAGAAGAGGCCGTTCAATAGGCACTTGAAAATATGTTCAATATTCTTTGCCATGAGGAAATTCTGAAGTAAAAGTATATTGAAAGTATATTCTTTACCCCAGTCAGCATATCTGTTATGAAGAAAACCAAAATGCTGATGAAGATGTAGGAAAAGAGAAACCCTGTATGTATGATGAGAATTTCATCTAGTCCAGCACTGTGGAAATCAATATGGAGGTTCACAAGAACCATAATCAGAAGTAGTGCTTGTGTATATGTTGTATGTTCTGAGTAAGCGTGCCACAGAGATGGTTGCACATCTGTTTTCATTGCTGCACAGCAGCTAAGTGATAGAACTAGCCTAAGTGCCCAGCACAAGAGGAACTGGTAAGAAAAAGTGTGATACAAATACACAGTGGATTCTGTTCAGCTGTGAAGAATAAAATTATGACATTTGCAGGAAAATGGATGCACTGGAGATTGTTGTGCTAAGTGAAATAAGCTAGACTCAGAAAGATAAGTACTGCATGTTCTCTGTCAAGTGGAGCTTAGGTTTAGATTTATGCTTTTGTCTACATTGAGTGTGTGTGTGTGTGTGTGTGTGTGTGAGAGAGAGAGAGAGAGAGGGGGGGGGTGGGGATCAGTAGGAATACTGTGAAGGGAGGTGGAGGTCCAAAGTGAGGGGAAAGGCACAGAACAGAGTAACAGAGTGTAACTAGGTGAAACCAGCTGGAGGAGCTGTTGGTGTGTGTGTAGGACCACTAAGAGGGTGCTGGGGAGCCCGGCAGGCAGGTAAATAAGAGCAAGGTGTGGTGACACCTGACAGAGTAACTATGAAACCCATTACTGTGTATTGTAACCAGAAGATATTAGTGAAAACAAACAGAAAATAATTTAAAATCTCAGTATTTGAATTGTATTTGTTCAAATTTACTTCTCAATATGTACTATAGAAGTATTTGACTTATGCTGTGGGGCAGTTTTTTGATTGATAATTTTTGAAGCAAGGTCCAGCCCACTGTGGGCTTTGGCTGGATCAGAAAAGTAGCTGATCCTGAGCCGTGCAGCATGCTACTACACATCGCTTTCTGTGATCTCTGCCTCAGTCCCTGCCTTGGCTCCCCTAGATGATGTGACTGCAAGCTGTAGAATGAAAGACACCCTTTCCTCCCCAAATTGTTTTTGGTCCTGGTGAGGGATGTAATTCCTATAATGGCAGTGTAAATGGGCCATGAAAACCATTTACACTGTTATTGTAGAAATTATATCCCTTAGCTTAAAAAATTTAAAATCAAAGCAAAGAAAACTTTCACAAATACTGAGGGATTTTTTTTTCTAATTTAAAAGTGAAAACTAAGAGTTTTTTTTTTTTTAAAAACTGCTTGTTCTGGCTTGCTTTCAGTTGCTGTGATAAAGACCATGACCAAAGCAACCAGGGCTCTAACCAGTTACTCTATGATTTGGCATTTCTTGTTATCCAGTTAAGCAAGTTGATCTGACTTGAGAGTTAAAGATAAAACAGTGGGTGTCTGGACTGTTGAGTGAGCTGGCCAGTCAGCACAAGGTTTAAGAAGCATCCTTCGGCCAGGCATAGTCACTCACACTTATAATCCTCGTACTAGAAAGGTCAAGGCATGAAGATTGGTGTATCTTCGATGCCAGCCTGGTTTTACCACATGAGACTCTTTACAGAACAGAAAAATGTTATATATTGATGCCAGTGCAACTGTGAGGTTGTACAAATTAAAGACAATCTTTTAGGAAAAGAGTCTCATGTTTTACCAGTTTTCACTCATTCTGTGATGTCCTGTGTGGGGGTTGTTGCATCGACTATTAAAGGAATGACTGTTTGCTTTACCTATTTGCTGATGTGAATACCTTAAAAGGTTAAAAAATAATTACTTACCTTTAGATCATACAATTTTGAACTTTTAAGAATAAGAACATTTTGTGTTTCCCCTTACAGTGAGTTACCCGAGAGAGAGGAGGGTGAAGGAGAGGAGACACCAAACTTCAGCCACTGGGGCCCACCACGAATGTGAGTGTCTGCCATTGCTGTCCTCAGCGCAAGCACACCCTTGCTCTTTTCTTCAACTTAGAGTGCTCGCTAGTCTTGTGTCCGCTTGCTGCAAGCTAGAGTCCTATGAAAGGAGGGAACCTCAGTTGATAAATCGCCACTGTAAGATCCAGCTGTACGGAATTTTCTTAATATGTGACTGATGGGGGAGGGTTCAGCCCACTGTGGGTGGTGCCACCCCTGAGCTGGTAGTCTTGGGATCTATAAGAAAGCAGGCTGAGCCGTCCATGGAGAGCAAGCCAGTAAGCAGCACCCCTCCATGGCCTCTGCATCATTTCCTGCCTCAAGGTCCCTGCCCTGCTTGAGTTCCTGTGCCGATTCCTTTGATGATAAAATGGGATATGGAGGTTTAAGCCAAATAACCTTTTCCTCCCCAACTTGCTTTTTGGTCCTGGTGTTTGTTGCAGCAATAGATTCCCTATCTAGGACACTTAGTCATTGTAACTGAGACTTAAAATAGTAATATCTCTGTAATTAATAAAAATAACTAAAAAAAAATAGTAATATCCTGTGTGCTGAATTTCAATTCCCCTTTGTCCTGTCTAAAGACTATTAGACAATATTCACACACTCTCTGATGCTGTCTCAGAGAAAGCAACTTACAGATGCCCCTCTGAAAGTAGCTGCTGATGGACATCACGCTTTATCACATGCCAGTTACTAGGGAGGTGCTGCTGCCTGGGATGCTCTACAGCTACCGGTCCAGAAACAGTAGAGGCTTCTCTCGCCTGCCAGCTTCTCTCTCCCCTCTCTTGGGCAGCGAGTTTGTGTTTGTGTCTGGTTTGGGCTCACAGCTCATCTTTGCTTGCCTGTGGCTGCACGTGGAAGTACTTGTCAGGCCCCCTGAGTTTTATGATTATTGAAGTCCTTCAGTATCTCTCTGTTTTTATGCTGTGTTAATTCCACCCCCCAACCTATCATCATCTTGCAATTCTGAATTTTGTCTTAAAGACTCTGAGGATATATTTTCTGAGTAATTTTTAAATTGAGCTGACTCCCAGTCGTGGTTCTGTAGTTAAAGCAAAATTTATGTAGGGGTAAATTTCATTTCATATTCTTTCTTTTTTTTTTTTTTTTTAAGTGTCGTCAAATAAAATCCGAATAGTTGTTTAGGCATGTATATGGGTATATGGGTGACATGGTGGCACATGCTTGTAATCCTGACACTTGAGAACCTTAAACAACAATTCCAATTCAAGGTCAGCCTAGCTTTATAGTGAGACTATCTCAAATAACAGTGAATCAGTAAGTACACAAACAAAGACAATGATATGGAAGTAGAAAGCAGAGAAACCCTTGCAGCCCTAAAAGCAGATAAAGATGACCTGTGAAGAACCTCACACTTAAACCTTCACTGGAAGAGGCCGTGGATTGTGAGCCGCGCAGCAGCGAGTTTATTTACTCTGGAAAGCTGAGGCTTTGGTAGAATGGATATGTGCTTCCTTGAGTCTTCACCTCTTTGTCGTTCTCTCAGTCTCTCTGCTAACACTGTACACATAAACGAAATGACTGATCATACTGCGATAGAGAGGCATGTAAGGCTTAGCTAACTCACCTCTTACTCTCAAGAGTTGTTTCTTATTTGAGAGAGCTATCTTTTCAAAATCTAAACTTTTACATGTCACAAATTCTGATAGTATCTTATAATTTTGGAGCTAGCATCATTTGTATAACAGCTCTAAAGTATATTAGGAAATTTTCATAAAACACAAGCCACAGGCTGTATCATAGATGGAACACTTCCAGTGACAATACAGCAAATTAAATTACCTTATTCATGAGTTGTGTCGTCTTTGTCTCTTTCATAGTGTTGAGATTTTTAGAGAACCCAATGTGTCTCTTGGCATCAGCATTGTTGGTGGACAAACAGTTATAAAACGGCTAAAGAATGGAGAAGAGCTCAAGGGAATATTCATCAAACAGGTGTTAGAAGACAGTCCGGCAGGAAAAACCAATGCACTAAAAACTGGAGATAAAATACTTGAGGTAAGTGAAGGTGAAACAATGCTTACTGAAACATTTGAATCCATAAAAGCATCACTTAGGCAAAACTCATGTTTAGAATAATTGGATTGACTTGGTAACATCCATTTGTGGCGCTGTAGTTGGGCAGCCATATGCATGCTATATGAGCTTCTCCAGCTTGTGAGCGGGGAGCAAGTAAAACGATAAGGCAAAAGCCACATCTGATTAAAAGACTTAGCATAGCATTGTGTGTAGAACAGGTGGACGCCTGCTTCCCCAGAACCTTTAGCAAGTTCTGGGTTTTGTGCTTGTGTCTTTTCTACAGAAAGAAGTTGACCTTAGAAGGGGTTGGATCCGTGGTTCAAGTGTGTTCAGTTTTATGGGAGACATCTTATTTATTTTTAAGATTTATTCTTTGTTCATTGTTTTTATACATATGTGTTAGTGCTGCATGAATTTACGTGTATCCTGTGCACACAGGAGACTGCAGCAGCCAGAAAAGGCTTTAGACTAGAAACTTGAGCTGCAGGTGTCTGTGAGCTGCCGTGTTGGTGCTGGGAACCGAGCCCAGGGCATGTGCAGGAGCACTAAATGCTCTTGACTGTTAGGACACTTCTCCAGCCCTGGGAGTTAGATTTTAACTGCACGTGAAATGCTGAAAGTGCTCTAAGGTATGAGTGGGTATGTACCTTGGGCTTGTTGGATGATACCAGAGTAGGTATCTCTAATTTCATGTAGCCCAGGTTGGCCTTGAACCTGTTTGTAACCGAGGCTTGCCTTAAACTTCCATTCTTCTCCCCTTCACCTCCCGCCGGGACTGCAGGTGTGTGTCACCATACTCGGTGCAAACATACTAAGAGCAAACAAGTCTTCCTTTCTCTGGAGTATGTGCAAATGTTATTTGCCTGGGTTTATGCTAAGTCTCTTTTTAAATTTGAATAGAGCTATCAAACTGTTTCCAGGATTGACTGAGCCATTTTATATCCCAACAAGCCACGAGTAAATGATCCACTTTTCCACCTTCTCAATCTAGTGACAGTGTTGTGTGTTTGGCTTTCTAGTTGGCATATGGTGATGCCTCCTGTGGTTTTAGTCTGCAGTTCTACCTTGGCTTAGCTGGGTGTGTTTCCATGTGCAAATCCTTGCTCTCCAGGAGAGCTTCAGAGCATGCTTTCAAGTGGTCTGCTGCCTTACCTTCTGTAAACTAGTAATCTGGGGCCCAGAAAGGTGTCTCCGCAGTTCAGAGCCCTTCCTTCCATTCACAGGACCTGATATGTTCCCAGCATCTTCATTAGGCTGCCCACACTGCTCATGGCTCTATCTGCCAGGGATCTGATGCCCTCTTATGATCTCTGCAAGTACTGGCAGATATGTGACATATGTATAAACATAAATCAGTCAAATTTTTAAATAAATAAAATAATTTTCCACCCTTACCTGCTTGTTTTTTCAAGCTCACACTGGGACTTGAAGACTACATTTTACTATGCAAGTGTAATGAATCATTTGTTTCCTCTTTTTCCTGTGATTCCTGTGATAAAGCTTTTATTTGGTTTGTTTTTACTGAAAGCCGGTGGTGAGTTGTGTCTGTATTGTAAACAGATACCTTTAAGCAATAAAATGAAAGGTTTAGATACATAAGAACTTCCTTAAGAAGTGTGTCTTCATCTATGTGGACACTTTAGTTCCTGCATTCCAACTCTAAAGCTAGAAAACCGGGATTTGCATTGAAGTGTGTCCAAGCTCCATTTGTCTCTAGCATCCCGTCAACTACTCCCATCTCGCACTATGGAATCCGTGAGGGAAATCCCTGCGTGCATCCTCCAGTCCTGTTCTTCATCCCTTGGGCAGTGTACTCAACCTCCTGCTGACTGCAGCCCACCCTAACCCAAGGCATTGTTCGGTTTCACTTGAAACCCTGGGTCTGTGCTTTTGGAGAACCGTGGACCTGCTAGTAAGTTAGGCTCTCTGAGTTTCTATAATAAAGGACCTGAAAGTTACAAGCACTTAATAAGAGAACCTGTGTGTGATTGGACACTTCGTTTGTTAGCATAGATTGAGAAATAGTCAGTTTCTGGGTTGTACTGATAGTTTAACTCAGTTTAATGGAAAGAGAGTAAAAGTCTGGAAAGGTCCCTCACTCCCACTCAGAGGCTTGCTTCTGTTACATATAGCTGTGTGCTATTGCATAGAGACCTCGACTGGAATGGAACCTTCCCAGCCTTCAGCTTAGAGTCCTCATATGAAGGGGGCTTGTTGTTAAAATGTAACTGTCCTCTTTGCCCCCTGGTGGAAATGCTATTTTCTTTAGCCTCACTGTTCGGGAAACAGTAGAACATTTCATATACAGTCATTTTTACTCCCTAGCTGTGGTCTAACACATTCATTTATGGCTTTTCTCACACCCAGGATGATACACATAAACTTGAGCTAGCTTGTCCACCATCTGGTGCTTTTCTAACCAGACGCCTTCTTCTGTGTTTTAGGTGTCTGGCATAGACCTGCAGAATGCCTCCCATGCAGAAGCCGTGGAGGCCATTAAGAGCGCAGGAAACCCTGTGGTGTTCGTGGTGCAGAGCCTGTCATCCACCCCAAGGGTCAGTACTGCTTCCTACTTCAACATGATTATTCTGTTCACCTCTGCTCCCCTAGTCTCCCAGTATTCCCACAGTCTCACTGTTGCTTGGCTTTACTAGTTGAAAACGTATTAGTTCCATAAAGGTTTAGCCTTTCCTGTCAATTTCTATTTTTTTAGGCCCAGTTTTGATCTGCTGATGAAAATTGAGTCATGACCCCATACGTTGGTTTAAACAGCCTGAGAATCACAGCCCTGTTTCTGCTCCCTCCATGCCTGCTTACCATTTCTGCTAACACAGTGACACACTAGTTCACTTTTCTCAGTCAGTTACTGTGATGTGAGGGAGGGTCAGGTGGTAGAGAGGCCAGTGGGTGTTGTGCATGTTTGACTCATGTAAGCACAGAAACGCCATCAGTGCTGTGCTGTTGTGTGATAGGTTGTAGAATTCTCCGTAGCCTTAAATCCTAGAAATGGAAGCAATATGTACTTCTGAACAGTAGAAGAACTGCATAATTAACCGTATTACTTGTGTCTCAGTACTGTAGTCTAGACCTTCAGGGAATACAGAAGATAGTACCTGTGAGGAAAACAAGTGAATAGCTGGCTGCCCCAGCTTCCCCGCTTTGATGGGATGCTTTGCATGCAGGAGAGCACTTTCTGTATACTGAGCTGCAGCCGTGGCCGCGGTGGGTAGCTCTGCTGAGTTGCCACGCTCCACCACTGTGCCTTCCATTCTTGGTTTGTTGCTCACCCCAGGAAGACTGAGAGAGTGAAGAGCATAAAATCCTCTCATTCTCATATGATTTGAGAGTCAGTTAGGCGCATTGGAGTCCAATTTGTAAACTGTATATAAGATGGAGAAGTAGTTGTGGCTATGCTTTCATTTCTAGAACTGCATTCAATAGCAAATAGTTTTCTGCCAAATGGCACATCTACAGAAACAACTGTGAGTGAAAATGAGTGAACCAGGATATACATTATGCTGCCAACCTTAAGTGCCCTGCTGAAAATATTTTGATGGTTATAGATTCCACTAAAAATGTCGTGCCTCTAGTAGCTTTTGCTAGTGAGCCGAGATACAAGGCTTTTTCATGGATGACATAAACTCAGCTGTAAAAACAGGAGCATCGCCTTAGTAGCCTCCCATGCTCATGTCACTTGGTCCAGGGAGAGAGTAGGCTGCCAGACTGTAGCCCCTGACCTCCAGCTGTGGGTATGTGCTAACCAGTGGTGTTAGACATCAGGTTTACTTTTTCCTTTTTTAACCTGGTTCAGCACAGAGTAATTCCCAAGTCAGTGACAAATCAAGTTTCATGCCTTTGCTAATAAAGGGGTTTGGGTTAATTATTGCCACATGTCCTCAGGATAGAGGGTAGCAGATGCAGATAGCACCCTCATGGTTGTTAGGGTATGTTGAGGAAGAGAAAGGTACAAAGCCAGTGCTCATAGGGAAGCTGTGGCTACACAGTCCAGAACTATTGCTGGGCGGAGAGATGGCTCACTCAGGCTCAGAGCACTTGGCGCTCTTGCAGAGGACCCAAGTTTGGTTCCTGGTACCCATGTTTGACAGCTCACAACTGCTTGTGACACCTTCTCCGGGGGATCTGACACCCTCTTCTAGCCTTAGAGGGTACATACACACACACACACACACACACACACACACTAAAAATAAATCTTTTGAAGAACTAAGTACAGTCGTTTTCACTGAAGTAAAACATTTCTGAGACCTTACTAATACTGAATTAGTATATTTAATATAGTAAAAGTGAGTAAAATTTTACCATTTCATTTAGATCAAAGTGGAGAATTTTTGTTTTGTTTTTAATGTTATCTAGATAGGCATTTCCTTTAAATTTCTGGAAAAAAAATGTTCCTACCTTTATGTCAGCCATCAGGTTTTATGTGTAATTATTTGTTAGCCATTTGAAGCGTCTTGAAACAATTACTGGTAGTTAGGAATACAGCTTCTCAGTAAAGTGCCTAACATGGTGAGGCTCGGGATTCACTCTTTAGGACTAGAAAAAACATGACCGAAAATACTGTGCTTTCCTAAGATGTTTCATAAGTAACATTACAAAGGGTTATGATTTAGGAAGTAGCAGTCATATGCCAGAGGCAGCTGCTGCAGAGGGAGAGCCAGAACAACCCAGCTCCTGGGTGTACCGTTGGCTGAACATGGTGACCGACACGCTGCAGGCCAGCCTGGGCTACCCTGTGTTCTAAGTAGCTATGAGTAATGGGTGAGGTCCTGTCTCCAAAGCCATAAGCCAAGCAAAATATGAAAGCTGTCCCATCAGCATCAGTAAGAATTAAAATTGTTTTTTATAAACTTGAACTTCAGGATGCTGGAGAGGTGGCTCAGTGGTTAAGAGCACTAGCTTATCATGCAGAGGACCTGGGTTCCATTTCCAATACCCATACTGTGGATCACAAGCTGCCTATAACTGGTTCCAGGGAAATCAGATGTTCCAGGGGTCTGATGCCTTCTTCTGACCTTCTGGGACTAGGCATGCATGTAGCGAGCAGACATACATGCAGGCAAAACACTGATATGAAAGGAAGGAAGGAAGGAAGGAAAGGGAAGGAGGGAGGGGAGAAAGAAGAAAGGAAGGAGGTTATAAACTTGACCTTCTTTCATTTAGAAATAAATACTTACTAAATGCAACTATGTATCAGACCTTGTCTGTTCACCACAGATTTTACAAAAAAAAAAAAAAAAAATCACTCAATTTCTTCTCTCATTGGGTAGAAGAAATAAATTTGTAATTTATCCTTCAAACAGTGATAGTGAGATAATTATCAAGTCTATGAAGTCTGCTAAATAACAGATTTCAGCTGGGAGTTCAGAGATCAAATAAATGAGGGTTCCTATCTTTTAGCATCTAACTGAGGTCTCCACTGAAATTTCGTTTGCAGAATGAGGTATTTGAATGACAGTGGTCTAACTTTGTAGTGGTCTTTGTCTTCACCTTATACACAAATCTTTAATTTCTTTGTTTCCTGTGACATACATGGTTTTATAATACATATTTCCTTCAGACTTTACCTCCTTATACTGATTGCCTTGAATTGAATCTCTCATATATTTAACTTGAAATAAAGTCACCAAATTTGTTAAGTCTTTACTGTCTAAAAACAGAAACAAGGGCTGTAGCTTCTCCAGAGCCAAGCCTGCATGAGCAATGGCACAGGCTAATAAACAGATAGAAAGGAATGTATCCAATTGCATTGTGTGCCACCCACCTCCACAGCCCTCGCCCATTATGCTGGACTGGGAAGATGATGAGTTTGAGGCTAGCCTAGACTCCATAGAAAGTTCTAGACCTACCCGAGCGGCATAGTGAGAAAAGTCACCCACACCACACTAAAAAAATCAGGAAGGTGGGGATAAAGGGGGAGATTTTTTTTTTCCTCTCCCTCCTTCCCTTCCTTCCTACTTTTGTTCCTCACCCTCTCCCTAGACATGGTCTCAGTATGTAACCCTGGTTGGCCTGGACCTTGCTATGTACACCAGGCTGCCTTCAAACTCATAGAGATCCTCCTGTCTCCACCTTTGAAGTGCTGGATTAAAGGCATTCACCGCCTTTTGTTTTCCTTTGAGATACCATGTCACACAAGCTGGCCTTGAGCTCACTGTGTAGTCCAGGCTTGGGATCTTCCTGCCTCATCCTCACGAGGACTAGGATTATGAGTGCATCATCACACCATGTTTAGAAAAAGACATTTGAGGGTGCTCATCTTTCTTCTTCCCCCTTTTGTTTGGTGGTGGTAGGTCATCCCAAGTGTGCATAACAAAGACAAAACTCCTTCAAAGAACGAGGATCAAGACACTCCAGAAAGGAAAGTGAAGGTAAGCCAGGCCAGCTTCTGGGGGAGGCTTTGGTTTCTGTTTCCATAGCTGAGCAATGATGGGTGAGCATGCTGAGGTGTACCGTGCATTTCTGCTGGGTCTCAGCCTGCTTCTTGACAGGATAAAGTGGGAACCACATGAAGCATAGGCTAGATGACCTGTGATGCACAGTCAACCAAGGACATCTGTCACTTTTTCTGTTCTGCTGGCTGCCTAGCCATTCCCAAAGCATGCTTCTTACAACTAGCAGTTTCCATTTACACGTTGCTTTTCTCCAAGAAAATCAAAATATACCTCTACTGGGGAAAAAAAATATTTTTTTTCATTATCAGTCAGAATTAATCATCCATTTTGTTTTCCTGCATCTATCCCAATAGAATATATTGACTTAAAAATTATCTTAGGGTATGGTAGCAGGTAGGGTGTGTCTTCATTTTTCTACCCCATTAAAGAAATTGGCTCATTGTTTTAAAATAGAACTTCTTAGGTAAAATAGGATTTACAATGCAAGGCTGTCCTGTCTAGGGTTGTGGAGGGAGGCTGGCTTCTGAGCTTGCTCTTACCAGCCTGTCTATTCCAGCACGCTCTGCTCCTCAGTTATTGATGCCTGGAAATCAGTCTTGTGTTCTGGTGGAGTGAAGTTTTTCTTTTTTCCTATTTTGTTCTCTAAATATTTACACATATATTCACTTATTTCTATGTAAATTTAGAGTCAACTTATCAGTTTCCACAAGTTAGTGTTGTGATGTTTGGGGTTGATTTGGGGTGAGAAAAACTGTTCTGAAGTTGCAGCCTTTTAATTGGCTAACATGTTTTTCTCTCTATGAAGTTACTTCTGTTTATTAATGTTCATAATTCAGAAAAGTATAACCTTTAATTTGCTCCTAGAAATGTTCCATTTTGACCGTGAGACTTTATTACTTTCCAATTTATTTCAGTTATAATCAGACTACTTTTTATATAATATTGTTTTGGCATTTGTTGAAAGAATTATCAAGTCACTTTGATTATTTGAATCTTGATTTGTATTTTGTTTTGTGTTTTGTTTGTGTGTTCTTGTTTTACTGAGGGGGTCTTGTGTAGTCCTGGTTGTCTTTAAACTTACTTATCTAGTGCAGAGTGGACCTGAGTCTCCCATCTTCATTGTGCAAGTGCTGAATCAGGTCCAGCACACCTCTCTCTGCATCTGGATTCTCAGGGATACAGAGGATATGAGTTCAGTTCCCAGTGCCTGTGTCTGACAGCTCACACCTGCCTGTAACTAAAGTGTCTAAAGGATCGAACCTTCGGGCCTCCACAGGCTCCTGAACTCCAGTGCACATACCCCTCTCCCCACTCCCCCCCTCCACATACACATGCAGATGATTAGATTCTTTTAAAATTTTACAGATAGTGGTTTTTTTGGAAGAAAGAATTTCTAAAAATTACCACAAAACCATCCTAATCAAAATAATATGTTTAGTTTCACTGTTTTCTGGAAACTAAATATTAAGTTTAAATAACACTAGTTTCTAAACTCATGAGAATTGTTGTTTTTTGGGTTTTTTATTTTTGTTTTTGCTTTCAGGACTGTTACTGTTTACTAAAACACAAACGATGGGAAGATATGTCATTAAAAATGAGCAGTAAGAACTTTCCTCAAACGCATACAGCTTTTAGCTGCTATCTGAGCTGTGTAACCTTGCATTCTGTGCAGATGCAGATGTACAAAACCGCTGCTCTCTTTGTCAGAGAACTGTTCCTTTAGAACCAAAGCATGTCCTAGCATGAAATCAAACAGGAAACTAATAAGCATGTTCTCTATTACTTCTCAGGTAGTGGCAGATAGATCCCATAAACTCAGCTTGGAGGGGCTTGTCATCACGTACACCACCCAACGGTGGGCACAAAACCAGACCCCATTCATTAGTGTTGCTGCTGAGTTGCAGCCCAGGTGAGCACCAGAGTCAGACCTAACCTAGTACCAAAGCACAAGCACAGAATTGGAAATAAGCCACAGTGAAACAGGAAAAAGTGGTAGGGTCAGTCCCTTCGAATGGCATCATGTAAATGAGTTTAAACAGCTCACAGATTGCATATCTGTGAGGCATCCCTGTTTAATTAGTTCTGGAAGGTAGGTGGGCCTACACATCTCACTGGGACTTCCAAAACTGGCAGTGTATAATTTAGAAAAAATAATAAAAACAGTATTCAAAAAGCTATGCAAAATGTACAGGCATCGAGAATTTATTTAACTAGTATTGAGAGTGACAAGATATGGTGAGCCTAGTTCAGGGAATAGAAGAGAATCGAGTAGTTAATGTTCAAATTTAGATATGAAATTAGTTCAGTCTTACAGTACAAGATATCTGTAGCTTTGGTGCTGTATTTCCCCATGCCCTGCTGTGGAGAGAGAATCACGTTAGGGTGGCACATGCTTCAAATCCCAGAACTTGAGAGGTAGAGTTCAGGGTCAGCCTTGGCCACATATAGAATTAGAGTCCAGCTTGGGCTACATGTCACATTGGACCATAGCTCCAAAAAAACAAACAAGAATTGCTTGCATCACTGTCAGTTTTCTTTTTCCAAAAGTTCATCTTTCAGGCAACAGCATGAATAAAAGCAGATATTAGACACCCAGCAGATATGCAGGGAGGTCACCATGTACCGGGGACTAAGGCTGAAGCTGTCACTCAGCGTGACTCGTTCTCTGTGATAGTGGTGTTTTCGTCTCCTGGCCTGCATCAGCACTGGGAGCTCCAGCCCTCTCCATTACTGGAGGGCGTGGCCATGTGCACACCGTTCTTTAATGCCAAGCAGGAAGGTCCCCCGGGGGATGGACATGGTGCACACCTTAATCCTGGAAGCTCTGCAGAAAGATGGTGGGTTCTAGGCCAGCCTTTTCTCAACTTAAAGGATACAGCTGTCATTTTGTTGCTTCTTTCTTAATAAATGTTTCACATTTAACTTCTCTTCAACACTCTTGCATTTTAATATTTTGTGTTTCCCACACATCTACAATCACTGATTTCATTAGACATTATACTCAAGAACTGTGGGTGTGTGCTTTCTTTTATGAATCCCAGAGAATGCTTTCTCTTCAGGAGGAATTCACTCTGAGGGTCTTCTGTAATGGACCAGTGTCCGCTCAGCAGAGGTGGACCTTGCATTAGTGGTTTTGTTGGATAAAGCATAATTGAATGCTCTTCATTGAAGTCCTATAGGTAGGCAAATCCTAGTCTAGTCATTTGGGTGTTTGTGGAGGGCTTGAGCACCTTAGCTCCTACCTGCAGCTGCTGACATCTCTGTAAGGTTTGGCATGTTTTACTTTTTTCTCACACTCAAGAATGTGCCCTTCTGTGAAGGTAATTTAACACTGGAATTTTGTTTCATTTTAACTGTCTACAGGAGTCACATATTGTGGTTCGTACTGTGTTATTTTCTATATAAATTCAGAGCACCCTTATGCAGAAATAATTATACATTATAACCATTTCCTTTTAACATTAAATGTGTATGACTATCTAAAAACTATGGACATTTTGCCATTTATAAAAATCCACTATTTTATTTACTTTTAAAGAATAACCTGTAATTCTTACAGTGAAAAAAACTGAATGATTGTAAAGTTGATATGTGGGGTTATTATTACCTTTATGTTATTTTGAAAATCCATGAATTATTTGTCACTAACGCAGAGGACTGAGTTTGATGGTATAGAGGGAATGTGTAGGGCTTCCTTTCTCACAGGGAGGAGGGGTATATTCTTCTAGTAAGGACAGTGTTCTTCAAAGCTATGCTTTTGAACTCCTGTTTGCTTCATTGCTGTATTTGTATAAAATTACTTTCATAATACAACAGGAACTGGAGGAAATAAGTTATATTTATTTTACAGTCCTGAGGTTATTGCTGAAGTCCCCTGCAACCGGACTATTTTCAGATTATTATTATCATTATTTGTCCCTGAAGAGAATTGTATAAACTCTGTTCTTGTATAATTAACTCTTTTCTTGACTTTTGTCCCTTCAGAGGCATGGAACAGCTCCGCCTCCCATGAAGCTGCCCCCGCCTTACAGAGCTCCGTCTGCAGACAGTGAGGAAAGCGAGGAAGAATGTGCCCTGGCCGACAGTGAGTTCCTTTGTATTATCTAGGGTAGATGCAGAATTTATTAAATTATGCTGCTGTGACTGTTGTGAATCAGAATCATAGGGCTGTAGGTCTTCAAAAATGTGCACGAGTGCATGATAAAAATAAAGTTTTTAATCTTTGAAACTTCTGTGGCTTTTCTTTCCTAAGCTTTCCTATTTGAAATTAACAAAGGATATTTAAGAAAGTTATGTTGTACGACACTAATTTTACTAACTGGTTGTGAAACAGAAAGGCTAAGTCCTGTAAACCAGGGTTTTAACCCTAACAGCATGAGCTGGGCATAGACGCCAGTTCTGGATACTTACTGTGAAAGAATGCTGATATTGCTTGTGTGACAGCACAGGGACTCTCGTGTCATATGAAGATACTGGGAATTTGTTTCATGATTTTATTTTGCAATAGTGGAATCAACTATACATTTGGGCAGAGGTTTACTAGAGGCTGTTTTTTTAAAGGTGTCACATTGTTTTTTGCATGTACAGTATGTACATTCAAGCCTGGTTGCTATTTATGCAATTTCATTTATGGGGTACGGAAGTGGTTTGAAAAGTAAACAGTGACAGTGCTGTGCAGTTTGTAAATCTACAAAAAGTTATGGACATTTTCAAGGACGAATTTTGTGTCCTTTGAAATGTGTATATATGTTACATCTCCCTTTCAATTTTTTTCTTACTAACATATTGAAAAGTATTTTGATAGAAAAATTGAGTTGAAAGCAGGCTCTAGAACCTTTTAGAATACGACCTTAAGCGTGGCCTCTTTAAGAGTGCTCAGAACTTCATGTGATAATCGTGAGGGTTGGATGAAGTAACAGGTTTCAACAAGCCACATGGTACATCCTCCAAAAGGTTTTGCTCTTCCTGTTGATATTCATGATCATTAAGCTCACTTTGTTATTTTTATAAACAGGAAAACAGAAATGAAATAGAGAAATGTAAGGGATAGTAAGGGTGACTTCCTGAAAGTTTGATGTGTACTCCAGGGCTCTGCAGAGCCCTCTGACTTGCTTCATTTTCACTAGTTAAAGCTTTATCGAGTGCAGTCTGCTGCCTAGAAATGTTATCAGCTGGGGAATGAATAAGCAGCTCCTTCTTCCTTGGTGGCGTCAGCAGCAGAGGTAGAGAGACACAGTACTGTGGCACCAGCTCAGCCCCCTCTTCTGGGGAACCACAGACCAGCCCGCTTCTCTGGGGAGCCACCAGCTCAGCCCCGTCTTCTGGGGAGCTGCTCGTACTGGGTGTCGATGAGTGTGAGCTCCCTCTTGTTCTCATAAAGATGTTAAGGCAGCTGTTTACAATGCTGGTTCTGTTTGGATCACTTTGCTTATCAGTAAGGGACTGGATGTCCTACAGTACCCTGAGCAAAGAAAGTGGGACTCAGGGAAATTGAAGTGTGTCTGAAGTCATACAGCAAACAAAGAGTAGGAATGGGGTTTCCACCCAGGCATGGTGCAGAGCCTGCTACAGTCCAGACAAAGGTTCAGTGTGGACTTCAACGTCTTTATGCCATAAGATTTGTGAAACAGCAGCATCCTCCCCAAGTCATGTGTGCATACGTCGGTGAGGACAAGAAAGACACTGGTTGACACTAAGTATTGAAAGACTTGTAATTTCCCTTAATTACAGAAATTTTTATTTCATGTTTTCTCCAGCATATCCATTTCTCTAAGACTCTTCTCACCATTTCTTCTGTCTGAGGTTTTTCATTCTCAGTGTTTACGCCCTTCTCATCTTGCACATTATTGATTTCACTGTTAACCTCCAGAAATACCAAATAGCTCCTACAGCACACCTGCAGCCAAAGGCTCTGACCTCCTGCGCTTCCTTTAGAATAGGTGTTCTTTGTTCTATAACTTTGATCAATTTAATATTTTTGCTCATCTGGCCTAAACTAAAGGGCATTTGGGTTACTGTTTATCTCAGTTTTACTGTCCCAGAACTCTTTTTTTTTTTTTTTTTTTTTTGGCATTTTATGAAATATATTTCATCACTTTCTCAAGGTCTGTGGTTAGAAGCATATGGCTCAAATTCACCTGTTAGCCCACAAGGCAGTGCTGATTTATAAGAAAGATCATAAACATGAGATATACATGGCAGCAGAGCCCACTAAATAGCTTTATTAGTTGTTAGCTCTGGACTCAATGTAGGTAAGATTTGTTGAATGTATCCGATTGGTGGGTTTATACAATTGAAGTATACTGGGAACATGACCAGGAATGTTCCTTTCATATGCTAATATTCCAATGAAGGAGAATGATGACAAATAATAAGCTAGTTTAATAGTGGCTAGCATTCAGTGAAATACAGTGGTCATAAAATTTAAATATAGAATAAAATACAAAATGTAGTCAGCTCATTCTATGACACCACATTATTAGCATCCTTGTGACTAAGCATGCAAAGATCTGGCTCATGCATTCTTCAGAGAGTTGGAAAACACTGAGACCATGCCCTGCAACGGAACCTTAACTGTGTTAGTCAGGTGTCTATTTTTGTGATAAAATGCCCAAGGAAATCAATTTTTAAGAAGAAAAGGTTTCTTTTCACTCAGCTTCAAAGGTTTCAGATCAGGTCACTTCACCCTGTTATCTGAGCCTATATATGTGTAACACTTCAATTAGGATCATTTGACTTAAGAGTTGTTAAAATCATAGAGTATGGGAGAGGGGAGGACAGCGAGATGAGAGACTTGAGAATGGAATAAGAGAGAGATAGAGAGATGTGGGTCCCTCTATTCCTCTATGAGCCTACCCTCAGCACCTGACTTTAAATCCTACCTAGAGTGTAAAGAACCTTCCAACAAGGCCATGGACTGGCTGCCATGCCTGTAACAATGAGACTCTTGTTTTTTATATTTATTTATCTAATTTTATGTGCATGAATATATGTATATACTGCACCATATGCATGCCTGGTGCCCACAGAACTCAGAAAAGGGTGTTAGGTCCTTTAGAAATGGAGTTATGTGATGAACCAGCTTGTGTGTGATGGGACTTGAACATGGGTCCTCTTCAAAAGCAGCAAGTGCTTTCAATCTCTCCAGCCTTAACAAATGGGATTTGGGGGGACTTGTAAGGTCTAAAGTGTAACAACCAGTACAGGTGTATGTGTAGAAATATGCATATATATTTGAGACAAACGCTGCCCAAATGCTACTTTACAATGTGATCAATTTTGCTCCTTTTCTGTCCCTTCTTTGGTTTTTAGGTGCTGGCTGCAAATGAGTTTATTTAATGGCCTACGTTATGGGAAATACTAGTCTAGACTTACAGCTTTCAACTTTTAGAGTTCATCAAAAAGCAGTTATGAAGATTGACAAAGTGTTGATTGACAGTCCTACCCACAGGGTCTTTAGATACAGGAGGACCTAAAAATTAGTATCTCTAAATAATTCTCTGATGATTCTACTACTTCTGACCCAAGGACCACTTTCTGCAAACTGTTGATGGGAATAGTAGGGTCACAAGAGCTGGTAAATTTACTTAAGAGTAATGTGAGGACTAAAGAGATGGCTTGACAGTTAAGTGTGCATACTGCTCCAGCAATGGGCCTGAGTTCGGTCTCCAGCACCTGTGCTGGGCAGCTCTCAACCACCAGTAGATGCAGCTTCTGGGGGATTTGATGCCTCTGGTCTCCGTGAGCACCTGCACTTGTGCATATGCCCCCCATGTACACCTAATTCAAATTTTATGTTAAAAAATGATATGAGGGTCGCTCTGCCTGCTGACCCAGCAAGGCAGTTTCCAGAAAACACTTCCATGAGACTGTAAGATGGTGTTTCTGGAAGGCTTCTGTTATTCTGCCTCAGAGGTTAGCTATGACATGCTACTGAGGTAGTGATGGTGTTAGAGACACAAGCAGTCACCAAATTTAACACCAAGTGATTGAATTTATCACCAAGTGATTGATATGGACAAAGAGAAAGAGGATGCTTGCTAACATAACCTTAGTAAGTACTGTTGGGAGAATTAAATAGGCCACCTAACACCCTTTGCATAGTATATGAGGCATTGGATTTAGGTGCCTTATCTTGCCTTCTTGAACACATTTCATGGCATTCTAGACACCAATTGTAAAAAAGCAATTTATAAAAAAACCTTTATAATTGTAAACTAATTAAAGTTGCTTGAATTTTGATTAAAATTTGTGAAATAAGAATTGAAGAGCAGTTCAGGCATGCACTGTACTACCCCAGTCTGCTTTCCTTCTTGGGGTATCCAGGCACCATTGTGCACCCAGCTGGACTGCAGGGAGTGAAGCCTGGCCAGGGCCAGTGGGTTAGCCAGGATCTCGGCAAAGTGAGTGCGGGAGAAACAGCCTTGGAGGGGAATGACAAGGGCTATATAAACCTTGGGGAGTGGGTAGCAGTTTTCGGGGTGAGTTTATGTCATCATCTGGGGCTAGGTGCTGGGAATGCTTCATTTGCATGGATAGGAATTCCAGGTGCTTGCTGGACTTGCCCTTATATATACAGAGGACATTTGACCAGAAACCTGGCCACCAGGCTTTGTGACCACCTCAAGGATGGCAGAGATGGGGGCCATAAAGCTTCCATGAGCAGGGAGCATGAGCAGACTCAGAGCAGGGAGGAAGCAGTCCTACTCATGCAGGTGTTAGGATTGGAATTTGGGGGTTTGAACATGTCTTGGCATCACTCTTGCTCTGGACTGGCTCCCGTTGCACAGCTTTCCTGGCCCCACAATACTACATTGACGCTTAGCTATCAACAGGTTGCAGGATTCTCCTATGACATGCACTGACATTGTGCAATTGTTGTGTTAGCGTTCACTGTCAACTTGAAACAACCTAGAGTCACTGAGAAGGGAGCCTCAGAAGGGACTGCCCAGATCAGATTGGCCTGTGAACATGTCCGTGAGGGGATTGTCTTAATTATCAATTGATGTAGAAGGGACAACTCTGTTGGTGACTCTCAACTGTCTAATAAGGCTAGCTAAACATGAGTCTTGCAAGTGAGTCAGC